CCTAAAAAATAACTTGTTGTTTCTATTGGTTGTAAATATAGAAATATTTACTATAAATTGTGACTAAAATGTGTCTATTTTGACTAAAATGATAATACTTATTAATTTCTAATACAGTGATAGCTAAAAAGAGCTGGTTAAATTTTGTTTCTATGATATATGCTATTAGAATCTAAAGGAAAAATAACTTTTGGGTTGCCTGCAATTATTATAGAATTAGAAGAAAATATACATACTGGGATAGCAAGGTGGCTCAAGGAATAAAGATGCCTGCTGCTAATGCTGGTAATCTGAGTCTTGTCCCTGGGATTCATATAATGAAGGAGAGAAGCAATTTCAACTAGTTGTCCTGCAGTGCTCACATGTGGAATATGCACGTTCCCAAGCACAAAATAAATAAAACATAAACACTCTGTAGATACTGGAGAACCTAATCTCTGGGGAGCTGAGGATGGTGCAGTGAGAGATCTACTTGTCGTATGGAGAGTGACATATATCTCCGTTACTATCTTCAACTCAATTTATTTCAGCTTCCCACAGTAACTTTACAAGCCACACACTACAGTTTGCATTGTTCAAATGAAGAAGCTCAGTTTCAGAGAGATGGATTCCGGCAACATGCCAAAGCGAGAGTCACCAATAAATGGCAGGGCTAGAACTCAGGGCCATGTCTCCAAGCCCTATTCACTTTCCATTATGTTACTGAGCCAAATTATACTTTGAGATACAAAATCCCTGATTATGTATACTTCTCAAAACTACTTTATACAGAAAAGAACAATGTAAACGCAGCAATCCATTATGTAGCATAGATCATCTGGGGTATTTCTGCTGGGGCAACTAGAGGCCTCTACATATGATCAGTCCTAGGCTCAACTCTCTCTAGGATCATGTGGTTTCACTGGAAATAAAAGATGAAGAAGTCCACAATTTTTCAAATCTTTAACAAGCCTCTTTCCATCCATGAAACACACAAGTGTCAAATACAAGAAAATAAAATGTATCTATAAAAAGAAATTCTGCTCAAGAATAAAAATGAATGAGCAATATAGGCTCAGGTTGAAGGGCAAACACATTATGCTAAATGAAAATGGTAGACACCAAAAACTCAAAAGCTCCAGACTTTGTGAATTTATGGGCACAGCATATTTCCAGGGGCAAAACGGAAGATAGAGATTCAAATCAATTAAGCAGGCTAGAGGTGAGGGGAGAAACTGAAAACTGTTCAGGGTAATAGAGAATATAACAGCTGTGCACATTTTATAAACCCCTGGAACTTTGGAACTGAAAAGAATAAAGTTTGGTATAAAATCACAGCTTCCAAATTTGAAAAATTCAAATCAAAAGGAAAATATAAATCTATAGAAAGAAGATAAACAGAGTCAAGTCTGGGCTGCAGCAAAGCCTTCTGGGTAAGGAGCTGTGGTAGACCTTAGGAGGCAATTTAAGGAAAAAAACGCCAATATTCTAATGCCACAGCGTCTAGGAAGGGAAAGAAGAGAGACTCATTCTTCATATTTAATTACGTACTTAAAAGGCATTTTCAATCTATCTAAGCATATTTTCCTGCTTTGAGTAGAAACTGATAAAAGAGAATGAATGTTCTTTTTATAATCAGTGAAAATAACGGTAAAGCATAAAGCACACGCCTGACTGGAGAGCTAAGTAACCTCAAGAGCTCTGAAGCCATCCCCATCCTGTCTTATTTCTGCTCAAGGATGCCTGCCCAACAGTACCAACAAAGGCAGGTCAATCAATACCTCCTGTAGAGAGCTGGCCTGCATTCTCATTCTTGACAATTTCTCTCTTAGGAAAGAGAGAGCACCAGAGTCACAGGTACTACAGAGGCAGGAGGACTCCTCTCAGTGAGACATAGCCCTTTCTTCCCACTTCCCACTATATCCATCCTATAGCGTATCTTTGGACTCTTGCTATAACTGCTTTACCAAAGATAGACTAAGGATGGGGCAGAGTCACAATGCACACTCCCATCAGCTTCAAGGTAAGACTCACTCACAGAGCCAGAGAGATTCAGCAACTCAAACTAAAAAGCCTTGTGATTTTTGCCCATGATGGCTGAAGTCCCTGGCAAGGCAACTTTGGCTCTGCTTTCAACAGTAAATGGCAAAATCAGATGCTGTTCTTTGTCTACAAGGTTGGGGCATTTCTTCTCTTTAGAATGTGATTCTAGGCGGTAGCATGTAAATCAATTTATTCTGTACACATTCAGTTGAAAGATCCTGCCACAGAGAAGAAAGAGTAGCAGATCAAAATGCAAACGTAAGAGCAAACCTTTCGCCGTGGCACTACTGCTTTATTAATTGAAGCCAGTGCTTTCTAGTCCAGCGCTAGCTTTGTTTTTCAGTAATTAGAAAAATAATTAGACTATTCCAACTGGAACCCATGAACATTGCAGGTCCTTCCACTCATTTGTGTAATAGGCATGGTTCTAAATTATTTATCCTCAAAGATTCTGCCCTAATCTAAATTCCATTTTGAAGTATTAATGAGCCCAGTAATACATCAATGACAACACAATCAAGTATCTAAGATTTTTATAAGATTAGGATTTAGTCAGCAATCTCTGTGGCACTGAACACATTTTAAATTTTATCTTAGCCAGCCAGTGGTGCTGCATGCCATTAATCCCAGCATTTGGAAAGCAGAGGCAGGTGGATCTCTGAGTTTGAAGCCAGCCTGGGCTACAGAGTGAGTTCCAGGGCAGCCAAAGCTACACAGAGAGACACTGTCTCAAGAAACAAAACAAACCACAAAAAGTTTACCTTTTTTGCTATCAATAGATTTAGTCCAGATCTCTTAAGATTTGTACATCTGATGCTTTGTCTACCATCTCTATTCAAACTACTTGTGCCTTTGCACCTGAACCCCAGCTCCATTAGAAAGTGTAATGCTGAAATCTACTTTTTTTTTCAGTCTGTTAATGTCCACCATTTACTGTTGGGTGTTTAGACCACTCACCATTTTATAATTATGAATATGGTCAAAAGTACATTTGTCATGTTACTGGCTGTTCTCTACATGTCTCCTGTCTCATATATTTTTTATTTCTGTCATTTTATTCTTTTTGTTGTTTGTAGTACAGTGATTCCAACCCTTTCTTATGGCAAAATATCTTTCATTATGATTGCCAATAAAACAACAGTTGATTTTGTATAGGTAGAACTGTGGGTGTCAGACTCAAGTGAGATTCTCTGTCATCTTCCACTGTTTGCTTTCTTCCTAACTCCACTTCTTGAAGAAATATATGAATAAATAATTATTCAATATGTGGGCTGTGGAGAAGCCTTGAATAGCATGTATATTTATGTAGGTATTGACACAGATACTGAATGAAGGTGAGGGGGTAATTATATTATTATCATTGTCATATCTATGGAAAATATCTGATTATTAATATTTATATTAAAGAAAACTTAAATGTAATATTTAAACTTTTTAAACAAACACTTGAAACACTTAAATATGATGCCTCGCTGATGGTTGTTTATAATTGTGTTTTAAATGTTTCTACCCTAAACGGTTCTTCTCCTTTTCTAGGGAAAGTGAACAGTATGTAAATTGCCCATGAGAAGCTGAGTTTGAATTCTCATTACTCACATAGAGAGCTGTTAATGGTGGCCTTGGCTCATTAGCCTAAAGGTGTGGAGGCAGAGACGAGAGATTCTTGACGTTCCCTGGAAAGTCTTGATAAATTGGTGAGCTCTAGGTTCAGAAAGAGTCTTTTCTCAAAATTATAGTGATCCATGACAGGAGACACATGATGTTGACATCTGTTCTCTTACACATGTATGTGTATGCATGTACACATACATATACATACATATATATGTGTGTGTGTATATATATCAACACATGCAGGTGCACAGGAGTATAGCACACACACACGAGAGAGAGAGAGAGCGAGAGAGAGAGAGAGAGCGAGAGAGAGAGAGAGAGAGAGTAAAAGTTAAAAACACATGCTTATTCTTAACCAATACAAGTGTATCTATAGGACTTACTTCCATGCTTCCTCTCTCCAGAGGGTTCAAGCTTCATAATGAAGATAAAGGAATGCTAAAAAATGTGGCCAGACCTTGTAAGTTTCCCAGTCTGTCTTACTGTTAATCGTGCTCTTTGGAGAAGTCGCTGTAATTTCCCAAAGGGAAATCAGAGAGCTTCCAAATAGCTAGACATGTAGAGCCTCCTAGATGGTGTGGCTCCTAGAGATACTTATACATCTTTTCCCACACCTTGCCCCGTGCATTTCTGCATCTATGCCTTCTGTAATACCATTTTAAACAAGCCAGCAAATATAAATGCTTTTCTGTGTTAAGTGATCATCTTGAATTCAAGAAGGGGACTCTGGGAATCCTGACTTCCAGCTTGTTAGTTGGAAGCTTGGGTTACAAACTCTGGTGCTGTGATTAGCCTCTAATACAGGGACAGTCTTGGGGAATTGACCTGACATTCTTTCAGGTAGATCACAGAGGATCTGTATTGAGTTAGAAGATGCTCAACTGTCTGGTTATCTCAGATGGTCCCTCCAGGTAGATCATGGAGGTCCTGGATTGAATTAGAAGCTGCCGGGCTGGTTGGTGTCCACTCCAGAACTGCCTGCTTGCCAATGGAGACAAATTCCTCACTTTTCAAGGTCAGAGAAATGATCTGTGTTTAGGTTGTGTGGGTAAAGCTGAGATTTATTTTACTTCCTCAGTGGTCTAACCTATTATACAGTAAAAGATGTATTATTAAATCATCTCATTAGGAGAAGGCAAACAGTCATATAGATTCTGTGGCTTTTGTCTCAAGTTTGCAAGACAATCACATTGCATCTTGTACAGGAAACACCACAGACATGCTTAATTTGCTCTTTGTTTCTTCCTTGTAGAGTACCAAGTAAAAGCTGCAATGGAGCTTTAAAAAAAAACAAATAGTTGGTACTTTGGAAGAAGTCCCATTTATTCTGGAGAAAATATGTATTTAAAATCACAGTAATCACATTCTTCTTTGAGTCATTTTTTATTTAAGATATAAAACAGGATGCTCATTTACCTTGACGTAAATTACACAGCTGATGCATAAGATAAGATAGAACTGTACAAAAATATCAAACCTTTGACCTCAGAATAGTGTACAGGATATGCCATCCACAGAACATCCAAATACTCTTTCACACACTCAGCGAATTCTAATTATACCTTGTACATGACTGTCACCTTGCAGCAGATTCCATGAATTTCTATGCAAAAGGTTCTTTATACTTGAATGTCAATGAAGCTTTTTTATCTAATCATTTTTTAATAAGTCTATGCACATACCCTTAAGTTGTCCCTTTGATGAGTTCAGTTTGAGGTAAGTTAGGAAAATGAGCAATCTAATAACTTTCAACTAGGCAATGTATAAATGTGGGGCGGGGGGAGTATGGTGGATGCTCCAGGGCAGTAGTTACTAAGTGCAATATTCTTCTTTTTAATAAGATGTATACATGGTGCGCACAGCCTAGCAACAGTCTTACAGCTTCACAGTAGTAACGAACAGGACACCATCCCAACAGGCCAGTGTTTCCTAATCCTGCAGCTGGGACTGGCTGCTTACAGGGCGAGGGTAGCACGTTAACTCTGACTGAAATGCTAACCACCAGGACCTGCATGGAATGTCTCTAGAAGGAAGAATCTACAGACTGTGGTTTCAGACAATGGTCTTCACATGACTCTTAAGATATGTTAACCCCAGAAAGTTCCCTGGGGTCAATCTGTCAATAAGAGTACACTTCCATTCATATAGTGACAAGTACGTTTGAGTGTGCTGTGGGGTGGGACACATGGAGTCTCAGGAAACTCTGGTCATTTTCATGGATTGGGCGGTAGAAATCAAGATAGGTAGGTAGTTTCATTTCCTCGCCTGCCCCCATTTCTTTTGTATTTATCAAAGTATAAGTTATCATGTGACATCAAGTCTACATGTGGTGACTTCCTTCACTATGGCTACTCTATGGAGGAAAGGAAAATCAATATTCACTACCCCTTCCTTCCTCCAGCTCTCTCCAGCTCTTGAATACAGGAATGGGGACCAATTATGCTGATAGGAATTGATGATGAACACAATGGGTGGGTTTTCATTCTGATGGCATTAGGAAGATTTCTTTTAAGATTTTTTTGTCCCCAGTTTATATGCATAAGTCCAATGAATGAGAGATCAGATATTCAGCCTCAAACTGTTGCATATAAACTCCACACTCCTTTCTCTAAGTATGTACCTTGAAGCACAATTAACCAAACACAGTCACAGCACTGAGTGTCATTGGCCCCTGCTTTCTCGTCATGACTCTCATAGGTTCTCTTCCCACAGGTTAGGAACTTTAGACTTCCCTGGGCCAGGTGTTTTCATAGGGCTGGGACTTGCCTGCCTCCACATGCTTCTCTGCTTTCTCCTTACTGGTGATGGCTAAATGTCTTACTCCGAATTTCTAAATTCGAGGTAAAATTTTAATAATGAGGATAAAAGACACTGAATAGTTCATAAGATTAATGCTGGAATTTAATTAATTCTATAGTTTAATGCTATTGCTTTTTAAATTCTTTTCTAAAATTATGTAATTTTTAGTAGTATACTACAGTACTTCCATTTGAGAAATGGTGGAATGATAATACCCGTTCCCCTCATGTGGTGTTAGAATTCAGACCCAGGGCCTTGCCTGAGCTCCGTGCACTCAACCATGGGGCCACACCCAGCCTTGACTGTGGCCTTTTGCAATGTGCTTTGTCTTTCCATTCAGCAAACTTAAAGGACGGAGGTGGTTTTTAGATTGTGGGTAGCTAGAGCTTGGGGACCACTGTCCAGTTGGAAGCAAAAGCCCAGGCTATGCATTTTGAAGTGTCATCTGCATTTAAAGTCCCTTATGTTCAATTAATTTGCATATTGCAATTTCTAAACAACAGCATCTTGAGGACGAAGCCTTCTTTCAGCTTTTAGAACTGTCTCTTGGGTGAGGATAAGGAAAATACCCAGTTGCTGAAGGCTTCAATCTCTCCGGTTTCTCCCGTAGAATCTCATAGGACAGTGGCCCATATGGTTGTAAACTTCTCAAGGAAGGATGCTGCATCTCTGAAGTACAAGTACTGTGGGGTGCCATGCCAACCCGTTGGAGTGCCATTAAGGAATCTGGGTTGGAAAACCGGAGTGAATGATCTGTTCACTGAAGCTGGCATTCACTGTAAAAGGAGCACACGTCTTAGTAACAAGCTACTAAAGCAATCTTCCTGAAAACCATTTGAGGAGACGTGTGATGGGGAGAAGGATGCTTGAGGGGTTTTAAGAACCAATGAAGAGGGCACAAAATGCTATTTTGAACAATTATTTGCCCGAAGTCACTTTCTTTGGACAACAAACTACACCTGGTACACAAGGTAGATTCTGGCACTGGTACATGCGATGGGCTCTGGCCCTAGGTCCTCCTCTATTTTGCTCAGCATCGTGCAGAGTAGGATAGGAGTTCATATGGACTTGATGGTGTGTTCAATGAAAACACTATGAGCACATTGTAATACAGTGATACTCTATCACAAGTTATTTTATACAAAGATTTCTGCTTCCCAATTGAGCTTAAACCTGTTTATACAAGAAAATAGAAGGCTTTCTATGAAAAATATATGCACATTACTTATATATTCATATATCTATATTTATAGATAAAAATCATTCTGGCTGCCTAAACAAATTTTATAAAAGTCTCTCTTTCTACAAGCTTTTTCTTCAAGTATACATATGCCACAGAAAGTACTTGGGGTCTAAGTTGTCAAGGATCCTAGTGCTCAGAGAAAAATAGTTTAAAAAATTGCATTGCTGATGTTTGAATTGGATAACAAAAGCTAGAAATGATTGCTAAAGACTTCTCACTTTGCCTTTTTCTTTTTGGAGTGTCTTGAGAAGGTTTCTCTGTGACTCCTGAGTGGCTCTTGTTTTTTAGTGGCGTGCAGGCTACCCTCTGTATTTTCTTGCTTTCAACTCCTTCCTCCTGCACGTTCATATCGCTTTATTCATTTTAAGGATGATTAATCCTAGACATTTAAAATTAAAGGATAAATAATCTATAGCATTCTAAGTTCTTGGATTGATACAACCAAATTTTTTAGCATAACTTGAAGTTTGGTTAGAGAGTGTGCTTAGGTGTGTGTATAGATGGTGAACATTGATCTGCATCTCTAGACATCAAAGATACAAGATATTTGGTGATTTATTTTAATCTGTAAGTTCATAAATAGTCCTAAGTATTGCCCAATTTTATTGTCTTAAATAATGTTACATAATTTATTAATTTCTTATTTATATGTTCTAGAATATGTCTATAAAGCTAATTTTGGGCATCTATTATCTTTTTAAAACTCAAAGCCTCTGCATTCATAGTTTTTAACTTACAAAATACTGAATAATCTTAAAAACTTAAATATTAATGAAAGTGAAGACTTATGAGAAGCCAAAAAAAAAAAAAAAACCAAAACAAACTTCCATCCCTGGTGTTGCTTTTGTGTGCTTATTCTTTTCCTATCTTAGTAAGTTCTGTCATTTGTTATTCTTCAGTTGCTCTGTGTTTAAATGGTATATGTATGTGTATGCAAATGATTACACACAGAGACTCAGTTATGATAGTAGAGAAGAGATATCTGGTTCCTTAAATATTTACTACTAACCAGGAATAATGTAGGTTAAAAACTGGTCGTCAAGTGGTATTGGCACCTTTTTATCTGGCCAGACTGCTGTTACTCTCCTTAAAAGTTCAAAATGACCTCATTTCTGTTTTGTCCTTTTGGCTTAGCAACATTCTTAGTTTAAATATGCACACGTAGAGCTCAGTGTGCAAAGTTCAGTCCCTGGTAGTCCCTGATGTCAAATATGAATCCAAATGTATCGATTGAATTTTATTTCCAAAGACATGGAGTTAGGAGTAGGGCTGCTGAGCGGGAGTGTGCTGGAGTTGGGCAGCATGGTAACTGAGCAAGAAACACCTGAGTTCTGGTGGGGGAAGAAGAGCAGGAGGAAGCCATTACTTCTGCAGCCGGCGAGAGACAGTAAGAATGGAGAACACGCCTTCTTTCTTCTCGTTTCCTGTCCACCTTTTTCCAGCCAAGGATGACTGTGGCAACCTCATGTCCATCTCCTATGCCTTAGGATCTTATACATAGGACTGGAAAGCTGAAAGGTAGGCTGAACCTGGCCCTAAGATAATTCCTCAGAAATACATTTTTTAATAATCCAACCCCAAACACTTAATTTCTCTGTTGGCTTTTTGTGTTTTGAGGACAGTAGAGTCTAGCTCTTTTGGAGTATTGACAGGTTCTGGTTCTTATGGTATTCAATCAAGCAGAGACATGGCTTTGGGGCGGTAGGATCAGCAAATGTTACAGCAGTAGTTCACACATGAAGATACTATACATTCATTCATTGTTATTTATCTTAGAAATGGAGCATCTGGGACTTAATTACAGCAGAGTTCAAGGCCCGTAGGGATTATTTCAGTCACACAGAAGTACACACAGCTGAGTTGTATCTTTCTGTTGGGTTAAGTTTTCAAAGTATAGATTCTTTAAACTACATTTCTTGGTTTCTTTCTAAATTCTGAGATGCCTTGCTTGAAATCAGTGTGTTCTTGGTAAATCTAAAACTAGCTCCGGAGACTACTTTGTCAATAGTAACATGAAACATATTTGGAAAATTCAAAAACAAACACTCATATTTTGGGGTTTTAAAAGAACCTTATACCAAAGCATTGAGGAGTCTCCTACTTTAGTGTAACATCTGGAAGCCCCAGCATTAAACAACTGCTCAGCAAAGGTGACTTTAGTCCTTTTGGGTTTTCTATCCTTGTTCTTATGGTTCATTAAGCCTCTGGGCATCACACATACATTAGTTATGTTTTTTCATAACTAATCACTGTTATGCTACCCAAACTGTTTTAAGTGTCTGTTTGCTTTTTTTTTCCTGTAAAAGAGGTTTGTGTTCTAGAGCTCGATATAAATTAAGCACTTTTACTTTTTGTAAAAGTTTAAATGAAAAGACTCAGTGCACTTGTTTTTAAATGACTCTCTCTATTCGACATAGAATTTAAACTCAATTGCACTGTGCTCTAAGCACATTGGAAAACACTGTTTCCAACTACAGAACCCAAGGAGTCACTGTGGTTTCATCCTATTTTCAGTCCATATTGGATATGGGCTCTGCTGGGCAGTTTTTCTCATTAGAACGGGGCGATTTTCCCACTCCATGCCTTTGCTGGTATTTACAAACGCCGAGAGCCCCGCTGAAGGTGTCATCAAGAGGAGCTTAGTTTACATCACGCTGAGAGTCACTGTTTCGGTGAACACAAAGCTATTTTCATGCATCCCTTGAATGCTCCCCGTGGCATCTAAACACATGAACATACGTGGACTGGGGATTCTTCTTTAAAACCCTTTGTCATTTCACTTACTCAACAAAAATGAGCAATTATTGAAAGTATTTCGCATCACTTTCTAAACCGTATCTTTGGGTACCCTTTTTTGGATCATACTCGATCTGTCACTTTCCCAAGGGAGTAATCCCAGCAGCTGGATGATGAATGACATATAGTCATGTGACCATGTCTTTGGTTGTATTTCGGAATTTCTTCTCACATGATTGAGGCAAACCTGAGAATAGATCATTGAATAATCGTTACTGTCCTCTTTTTTTCTCCTGTAAAATATTTCATTTCTCCATTTTCTTCTTTAGCGGCCTTTTGAAGAATCCGATCTGTTGAGAAAATACAAAATATAACACAATGAACTATTTTAATTCAGGCAACAGATGCTGATCGATTTAGATATAATCTAAGTAATCATGCATTATAAAATCCAGGCACGCAATTAATTCAGATAACCGATGCATATTTTATCTGACCAGTTAATACTGAATGCAAATTAGATAATATCTGTCAAACTGCTACTTCGTCCTTGGCCATTTCACTGCACCAGCTACCTAGGAAAAACCGTGCATGTGTGCAAGAAGCAGCGTTCTGGGAAGTGTGAGACAAGCGAATGACAATGAATCTACATTGTCATTGTCGTTATTTGTTCTGAAGTGCCAGAAACGTTTCCATCAAGTAACCAATGCTCAGATATTGCAAGTCTTAGAGGTTACAGTGAGCCTGGTAGACGGCCATGAGCAAGGTGCCAGGAAAATATCTGAATAATCTGGATGTCTCTAAGTGGGTAGAATGTTACACACAAGCTCTCCGGGAGAGGTTGCTCGAAAGACCCCGTGTCATTTACCTATGAAAATAGAGCTACTGAGGGTAGGGAAAAGAAATCACATGTGGCTAACGTAAGTCACATTTCATTATTTTCTGTCACTGAACCATCAGCAAAAGTTATCAGCCTTATGTTTTTATATTATAAAAACATTTGACACTAGATATGACTTTGGAAGTGACATTGTATTAAAAATTGTGAATACATTAAATCTCATTTAATTAGTTTAATCTTCTTTAAACTAAATACTTAAAAAAAACACCTAAGGGTACTAGGAAAGTATCTTTTAAAATTTGTGTACTCTAATTTTTTTCTTAATTTGAGTTAGTTAATTATTTGGAAATGTAGCATGCTCATATCACGTGGATCTATTTATGACTAGCTATGGATTTCCCAGAGTGTGCTATTATGGGAGTATGTCTGAATGGTGGTGGTGGTGGTGGTGCAATTTGCATGCAGAGCACAGAAGCTAAACTTGGGCACAGTGCCTTAGGTGCTGTTGATTTTGCTTTTTGAGACAGCATCTTTCATTGGCCTGTTAGACTAATCTGAATAGCCAGAGAAGCCTGCGGGGGGGGGGGGGGGGGGGGGGGGGTACTCTTTCCACTACCAGTGCTGGGATTATCAGCACATTATAGATAACTCCATGCCAACATGCACAACTTTTTTTTAAAGATCTATTTTTATTATGTGCAATTGTGTGTGTGTCTCTGTATCTGTATGTGGGAATGTGTAAGTGAGAGTTGGTGCCCTCAGAGGCCAGAAGTGTCGGATCCCCTGGATCTGGAGTTATATGTAGATGGGAGACAATGGACACAGGTACTGAAAACTGAACTTGGGTTATCTGTAGGAGCAGTACATACTCTTAACTGCTCTGCTATGTCTTCACTCTGGCCACCACTGCTTAACCATCATGAAGGGTTTGTGTGTGTGTGTGTGTGTGTGTGTTCTTGCCTGGAACTTGGGTCTTCATGTTGATAAGGTAAGCACTTTGCTGACTGAGCTCCCTCCCCAGCCTGGGGCTACACACCTAATATATAATGATTGAGCCCTTGCAGACGTGGAGGGATGAATGATCAGCAATAAGTACTTCCAACTTAGGAAGCTTTACTTAGGGCTGGTTTCTGCCAGAATCTAGTTGCTAGAAGATGAGGAAAGGGCGGTAACAGAAAACACAAACTTGGAAACCACCATGAGGTTAGGTTTTCCTGAACACCAGTCATTTCCTATGAGGCAACTATGGAAGCTCCGGACTTGGATACCAATCACCTTTTCACCTTTGCCCATGTGCCCTGAGGACAGCAAATCAGGGAGGCTTTTTCCCAGAGTGGGAGGCGAGTATTTAAGAAAAGGGTGTGCTGTGTGGGACTCTGCAACTCCAATGCCACCAGGATGAGTAAAGAGGGGTTGAAGCGGCAGGAAAGACAGAGGAGAGAAGAGGTTTTCTGTTCGTTTTTTTTTTGTTGTTGTTGTTCATTTTTTTCTTTTGTTTTTGTTTGCTTGTTTTGCTCTGGTTTGATTTTTTAAAAATTTTCATTGAGGGGGCACACTGCAGTGGGAAGGGGAGAATATGGAGGGTCTGGGAGGTGAGCAGAATTAGGGTACATGAAATTTCCAAAGATTCAATTTAAAAATCGTTAAAAAATCTGATTCTTCCGGGCTGCCCACCAGGCTCTTTTTCCTCTAAAGACCAGCCCCTTTTCCAGTCCCCTTCACTTTAAAATGTTTCTAAATGACCATCTTTGAGCCTGAACTTCTGTGATCTCATCTTTTCCACTCAACAAATCCTATAAACATGCATTTTATTACGGGAAGCTGGATATTTAGACCAGAGATTAAGGGGATGTAATTTGTAACTCCTACAAACTAAAACAAGACAATTAGCCGGGGTTCGAAAAACAAAAAGTTAAGTGTTTTTTTCTCTAGGGTTTTGCTTTTCCGCTTTCGTTTCTGTATCCTAAATGATCCTCTTTAGAATTACCCTAGTTCAAAACCCGGGGGGCAAAGTCGTGATCAGTGTAAAACGTGGGGCAAGTGTTGGATAAATGAATAGCAGAAAATAAAGAATGAAGAAGTGTGGCGTCGCTACCCCGGCCCCTTATCCGTAGGTCTGTACACCTGAAACACCGCAGCACAGAGTCTCACACACAATGAGAAATTAACAATAATGAAAAATAAAATAGAGTGATTATAACATTGTGTTAAAATAAAAGTTAGGCACATGTATTTACTTTTTTAATTTCTCAAAGCATCTTATTATACTACATTATAGTACAGTTGACTGGATCCCAGGACTAAGATGGGGTAATGGGGGATTACCGTTTTCCTTCAATAAATCACACTGGATGAGGAACAACGCTGTAGGAGTAATAACTCATCAGTGGGGGACTTTGACATAGGTGCAAATCAAGTTAGAGAACTTGAAAACACATGTTCTAGTTTCCCACAATTTTTCTTCTGACTGTGGCATTCTGCTTTATATGTTACTCTGAATTGGATTAGGAACTTTTATTCTAAAACTAAGTAACTTATGTTTCAAAGAATTTATAACCCAGGGCCCTGTGCTGTGTAACAATGGAATCTATCTAAAAAATACAAAGGTTTGGAGATAATTGTTAGTTGAATACAGTTGTTCACTAGTTGATACTCTTGGGGAGTTACCAGCTACCTTGCCTTTGTTTTAATGTTTACAGGTATAAAACGCAGTTACAATACATGGTTACAAAAATTGTTGTGTGGACCACAGAATGAGATCAGTGAATAAATATTCAAAATCTTATCCAGAACATTACTGGCTCTGTGGCCCTGGTAAGCATGCGAAACTTGTCTGTATGTTCACTTCCTCCTCTACAGGACTGAGGTTCATAAGAGTGAAGATGCATTAAGGGAGATTGCTTGGCACAAAGTAATCACCTACTAAGTGCTTGCTCCCCCGTTTGCCTTGAAATCCCAGTTCTAATTTAAAAGCCTATTACTGAGGTATTTGAATTAACTAAACACACTCATTTTGACAGCCCGGATTTGATTAACTGACCTTTTGTGGGTGGTAAAAGAAGATCTTAGAAGCTGTAAGCATACATCAGTGCAAAATTTACTGGTAAATGTTCTCATTTTTACACTCAGGCTTTTTCAGACCAAGGGTGGAAGAGCAGGTGGGGGAAAATTCCGTCTTGTTTGCTTGCTTTAAGCAGAGGTGTGAAGTCAGAGAGAATCCATCCAAATATCAGCCCTGGCTTTCCTATTCTCTTTCCCAAGTAGTATTCCAACTAGTCAGCTCACACAGGAAGGTCACACTAGGCCACATCAGGCCCAGTCTGCTGCAGAGGTGCTTCTCAGTGGGGAAATCACAGCCTGTGTGGCAACACAAGCTGTAAACCAGGCCTTGGGTACCACGGTGTGGCAAAGCTGGGTATTGCAGAGAGCTCTGACATCCAGGAACTTCAGAGGAAGAAAGGGACACTGACTGTGACCTGTGTCTTGGGACATTGCTGGGGAAGAATCATAGATTCCATTTATGGAATCCAATGCTATTTGGGCATGTTCTCCTTGAAGGAAATCCCCCAAAGATGAAGTTTGTCATCACAGAAGCCAGGAAGGATGGTGACTGCCATAGCTCAATAGGAGAGTAAGTTGCTATAGAAACTATTTAATTAAATGGTTCTGTTTTTGTACATTAGAAAAATGAACATGTAGCCACATTTCCATTTTTGCATAATTTTATCTAGCAAAGCAGTGGTGAGATATAGGAGCATGTTAATGCCAGACAGAATTCAAATTCCATATTTAATTAATAAAAACATTGAATTCAACTTTTATATGGATTTTTCTAGTAAGTTCATCCATCCCAAAAGCTATCATCATAGCCTGTTTGAAAATGGAGTGTTCTTACCTTTCTCACCTTAAACCGTCTCAGTAAATATCTAGATTAACTTGGGAGAAAAGAGGTTCCCATTTGGTGTTCCAAAAGGATTTGATAAGGGGGTCTCTGAACTTCCCATTTTTCAGCACACCCGCTGACTATTCTATACTTGTTCCTTATACAGCCACACAATTACTGCAGAAAATGTGGGTTTTCTGTTTGTGCACCAAAGAAGCATTTCATCTTTAAAGCAGATAGAGTGCTAGAGCTAAAACAAAGGTTCATCTCAGTCTTGATGTCCTTCACCAACAAAGGAATTCAATCTTTCTTGTTGTTTTTATTTTATTTTATTTTATTTTTTGAGAAGGGTTTCTGTGTGTAACCTTGGCTGTCCTGAAACTCGCTCTGTAGACCAGGCTGGCATTGTCAGCCTGTCTCTGCCTCTTGAGTGCTGGGCTTAAGGGCATTTGCCACCACCACCCGGCTGTTGTTCTTACTTTTAAAAGTAATAAATACCCTTACTAAAAGTTTAGTTTATTACTAAATAGTCCTCAGTAATCCTCCCTGTAAAGAGGTTACTCCAGGAGTTTGGGGTACATGAGTCTCCAATTGGGGCATACATTTTTTTTCCTTTGCAAAAATGAGATGTGTAGTACTCACGATATGAGATATTGCATGTTTTAAAATTCTTGCTTATCATCTAAATGCATATACATATTCTATTTGGAAGCATAGATAACTCATAATCTATTTTGCTGTTGGTGGCTGGAACAAAGGGACAGTGGCCGTGGCGCTTACCTTCCACAGTGCTAATATGAGCAGCATCAAGAGCAGTAGTCCAGCGAAGGCGCTCAGGAGGATGACCCACAGCGGCACTTGGCCCGGAAGTCCATCTTTGGATATTTGAATAGCCAGCTGAAAATGATTAAACCAGGCAGTTAACACTGATAAACACCCCTTAGAACTCCCGGAGCCCGGAGTTATTGCAGGCTATATTTTTTTTTTCTACCAAACACTGTAATTAATCGCATGACTGTCTAGGAAAAAAAAAAAAAGAAAAAACCCATCAGGTTTACATTTGAAAATGCCTTTCATTTACTCAAAACGTCCAATAATATCAGATTTATTATCGCCAAAAAGTAGAGCCCTTCAAAACAGAATCTTACAGTTTATACAGTCCGGCTCACCCAGGTGGAACATCGAAATTTTTCCAGTATGAGAAAATCATGCCCCTAGATTCTGGTTGCCAGAACACCACAGACAGTCTGGAGTGAGAAGCAGAAAGTTTTCAGACACACAGCCTCACTTACCTCTCGCTTCTGGTTGCTGCTGCTTAAAACCAGCGATGTGTTTTGACTCTGAAGTTCTCCCTTTACAGTGAGATTTAAGCTGGAAAAATGTGTCTGAAAGGCAGGTAGGAGTCGTTATTAATGGACCGTGCTAATTAAGGTGAGAGATGGTCATATGTGAGCAGTCCAACAATCCCATGTGCTGCAGTCCACCCACGCAAGGTCCGGCAAGACCAAGGCAACTAAAGATCCAGTATGGATTGGGGAAGAGGCTTCCTAGTTCCCATCTCTAGTAGAGCAACTGTTGATAGCTACTGGGGTAGGGAAAGTCGCTTTTCTTTTCTTTTTAAAAAATATGTCTTAAATTAAAAATATACTTAAATCACTCCCTCCCTCCCATAAATCCCTACTCCTTTTCCAGTCATTATTTTATTCATTATTATTGTTACCTATGAGTAAATACGAAACACAGTCTGCTAAATCTATTTAGTGTTTCTACGAGCGTGGCCCTTGGTGGGTTCCCCAATGTCCCAGTGGATCAACCTCACACCCATGCATATGAACAGCACTAATTACAATTGGTGGGTTAAAAAATAAATAAAAGGTTTTCTAAGGAAGATAGGATGATGGGGGTGGTTCTGGGAAAAGTAGAAAGAAGGAGTGAGGTGTAGATAGGATCCAAATACATTGTGTACTTTTGAAAAAGAAAATAGAAAAAAACACTGAAATTGTTCTGTGAAATTAATACAGTGATGCCTAGGGGCACCTCCTCCTTTCTTCCCCACCTCCCCCCAAACTGTCCCTTAGATCCTTCTTATAGAATGCGAATAGAAACTTCAAAATGATTTCTAGTCAGATTTTTCTCTAGAAAAACAAAGTTCAAACTTCGCTTGCCTCTCACGCCTCTATGTTTGGGACAGCTACATTCACATCCCAACAGTGAGGACTACGTGTACACACTTATTAAGGATTGTGCATGAAATTAGCAATATTAAAACGTCACGACTTGCCAAAATATCATCTTAATGGGACCGAACCTAAAATTCTCAGTTTCATACGATCGACTACATATTTCTTTAAAGAGAAACAAAAAATACCAAATGCAAGAAACTGTGTTTTCAAACAGCCTGCATTCAGATAGATGTGGCTTTGTGGGGGATGATGAATATACTCACATAGAAATTTCAAAAATAATCACTATTCTATAATGTATTCAAGTTCTCTCTTTTGTTAATGATGTCAAAAAAATGTCACTCCATTACTTTTTGAACCTTAACCAGGTTTCAAATTATTAAGATAAGCATAACCTCCAGTATCAGAGAAGCAGTTCTCTCTTGTGGTGCACAGACTGAGGAAGACAGAGACCTAGGACACTGCCTCTGGCAGGGGACTCTGGTGGCAACTTTGTTATCGACAGATGGGGAAGATGAGCCCCACACAGCTGGTCATGGGTCACATTTTCAGACACCTCCCTCCCCAGTTTCATGTTCTTTCCACGGCAATGCTGTGGCTTGCACAAACACACCAATAGTGAACTAATACTTAATGATCGGATTCCATAACTGCCTAGTGCAATGTGACCACTTACTTTTATGAACGTTGGTTTCCACAGGATGAATGATACATTCACTTGACTCACATCAGAAGGGATCAGATGGCAAGTGACGGTGGCCAGCTTACAGGTGCTGCAGTCCTGTTTGATTGTCAGAGAGACATATCAGGGTGCTTGCAATCCCATCCCAGGTTCTATATCTACACGCTTCAGCTAGGTATTTACTTCTAAGCCGACACTGGATGTACTGCGCTTGGAGAGCATAACATACAGATAGAATTCAGTTTACCTGGATTGTGCCTCTTTTGAGATCTTCGGACTTTGATATTGCCATTTTCTTCCCAGAGTTGATACCAAAAGGATCCTCAAGGCTCCGGGGTTTGCAGTTCACATTCTAAGGAAGGAAAAATTTTCCCCATGAAAAAGTGGCAAAGTCCAAGGAAAAACATCAGTTGGTGTAATAACATGAAGAATCTTATGAATGACAGCCAGTGATATACATGGAAGATCCATTTGTGAGTGTGCAGGATAGAGAGGCCATAAGGTATCCGCGATGTATCCCCACTCCACGGGATCATCATTGTTTCTGTGACCCTTGCAATTGCAGCAGATGAGAAAGGATGCTAGTAGAATTCTCTGTCTCACGAGTAACATAATTATCAATTTATTATTGCTCAAAGAACAGCTGATAAATTACAATTTATAAATTCCCACGATATATATTAAAGTACACACACATACACACACATACGCTAATGAAAAAGAAAGTGTTAGCATGTTTGCTATAGGCTCAATTTGATGCCTCTTTTGTTGGACTAGAGGGAAATTCCAGAAATTTTTTTCCTTGCCATTAGCAAAATATTTAAATGATTGGAAACTAAATATGACAGTTGCCATGTTTTGTTTTGTTTTTAATTCTGAGAAGGATTTAGCTTTTCAAAACCACATAAAAAGAAGGCATAATGTTAAATGTTGAATTCATGCATATACTAGCTCAATAATTACTGTAGCTGTCTGTGTTTTACACATAAACAGAATAATAATATTAATAATAATGAATGTCACATAATAATAATATTTTTAAAACAGCACATAGTCTATTTAGTGCTGCAAGCTCATTGGGGTTGCAATAGGGGGGTTGTTTGGGGTAAGTGAATAGTAACCCACTTTTTGTGAACAGCTATGCATGTTTAGAAAAAATAAGCCTTCCTTATTGAATCCCTCAAACAAATTAAGTGTGACAAAAATTCCATGTATCCATCAACAGTTAATTACCTAAGATCGACAGGATTATACCATGATTCCAAAAGGGCATGAATAGCTGAGTCCTAAGAGTCTGGACCTGGAAACATGACCTCATTTGCGAACTGAGTCCTTACAGACATAAGTACATTGAGGTTCTGCGGGTAAGAACATCTTGTATTTCAGGAAACCCCAAATTGAATGGTGGGTGTACAGGAAAACACTGAGGCAGAAAACGAACCCAGAATCCCAGGAAGGATGGAGCCAACGACTACAGAGAGTTCCCAGCGACACTAGATGCTGGAGGGAAGGCGTGGTCTAGAGGGAATCTCCATTATCAGCACCTTGATACCAAACTGCTGACCCTCAACATCACTAAATAATTAGCTATCGTCTTTAATTACTCATTTTCTGTAGTTTGTTTCAGGAACCCTAGATATTGAACTTACACATTTTAAGTAGTTGATGGGATTTGTTAATTTATTAATTTTTAATAAATATATAAATTAATTAATTATTTAAAGCGTCTCCATTTGTTTTAGACTAAACTTAACTTATCACAAGTATCCTACAAAGCAGGAGGCGAGGAAGGTAACAGTGGGTTGGAGAGACGTCTTAGCAGGTGACAAGTGCTCACTGCTAGCCCCGTGATGTGAGTTCTGTCCCAAGGCCTCTGGTGAAAGGCACTTGCTGTCAAGCCTGATGCCCTGAGTCATCCAGCTGCAGGGCTCACAATGTAGAAGAAGAGAACTGACTGCTGCAAGTGGCCCTCTGACCTCCCCTGTGGCTCAGACATGCCACCCCTCTCAATACAAAACAAGTAAGTAACTGTGGTTTTTGAAGAAGAAGGTAACAGAACTGACACCCTGGGAAAGCACACAGGACTTACATCTGAAGACGACCATCCAGTCGGGTACAGTACAGGATAACCATCTGATGTCAAGTTGGGGAATGAGATTGACAGCTGAAGTTCCGGCATTGGGAAATGGCCCCTTTTTCTGATCTATGGGGGAGAATAAAAGAATAGACATACAATCATCTTTGGCTCTTTCAAAAGCATCCTCTCCACGTTATGTAGAACTGTGGTTCTTTTTCCCTCTTTCATGTATATGTGCGTGTGGTACATGTGCGTTTGTGTCTGTGTGTTCACATGCATGTGGGCACGTGCATACGTGATCATACACGCAGATTTGCGTGGGTGTGTATGTGGAGAGGCCTGAGGTTGGTATCAGGAAATTTCCTCCTTAGCTATTTAGACTTTTTCTTTGAGATAGCATTTCTCAATCAAACCCATAGCTGCCCAATACACCTAGCGTCCATCACTACCTTGCTCTGGGGATCTCCTGCCTCTGCCTGTCTCAGCAGGCTTGCTGCAAATACAGTCAAGCCATCATACCCATCCAGAACTTATGTGGGATCCAGGAAGCTGAACGCCAGTTGTCTTGCTTGAGAAGTACATTGACCCACTGGGCCATCACCCCAGCCATTATCATCCCAGGACTGACCGACTGTATCTCTCACTTTCTAGACCAGGGCCTCCACTTCTGGGTTCTGGGATAAAAGATAATTTTGGTTCTTGTTTTGTTTTGTTTGTTTGTTCATGAGACGGGATTTCTCTATGTAGTCCTGGCTGTCCTGGAACTCACTCTGTAGACCAGGCTGGCCTCCAACTTAGAGATCCTCCTGCCTTTGTCCCCTAAGTGTGTGTGCTGCCACTGCCCAGGAACTTTGGTTCTTAATTGATGTTGGATATATAAAATTCTGAGTCATACACATGAAGGTGGCTCATGATGCAATGTGGGAATTGACCTGGTTAATCCAGCAAGAAAGTATGAATGCCCATCAGTGGTCATATGTAGTTGCTATAATTATATTGTTTATTCATTCTTTAATCCAGGATAATAGTAGGATTACTAATACTATGCATGTGGATAATACTAGGGTTAGGCTGTCAGTTTGGACACATCAATAATAAACTCAGTCACCGATACTGTGTTGGTGTTGAACTAAGAAATCAAAGCATCACCCTTTGTGTCATTTAACCAAGAGTGAGCCAAATTGGAAATCTCTGTGTTTTTCATCATTCCTGTCTGCATAAGCCTGGATCTACACTGTTGGAATTCTGTTTGTTGGCTCCATATCTGTGTCTATGAATATCTGTCCCTAATAAAGGGTTGCTCTTCCTCTTATTGAACGTCATCACAGAAAGCATCACATGAGGAAGAAATGTTGGACACTTTATTGAAATCTTCAACAGAGTTTTACAAGTCACTGTCTCCAACTGACCCCACTTAATGTCCCCGAGTTGGGACCAGTGTGCCCCCTGGATACCATACAAGTATGATGTCCACGTTTTACATATTCTTAATGGCTTCTCTGGGCAATTTATTTAGCCATATGAAAGAACACTTTGATCTTCAAGAGATGCCAGGACTGCCTAGCTAGTAAAGCAGCCTATATTGAGAGCTGCTCAGATCTGTAGTGATTCCCCATGGCTGCTGAACATTGAATCATTCATCAACCTTGGAACTGTGGAGATTCCTGAAGCTATGCCGGCCTCTTTGAACAAGGTCTGCAACCATCTTAGAATAATACACCTGGGGCTTGCCTGGCACAGCCTTTGCTTTGAATGCTATCTGCTTCTGAAATTCACTCAGGAATCATAAATTCTGATATTATTTCTTTCTTACCAAGAAGTACTCCTTCTTAAAATAAAACAACTGGAAAATACTGAAAATAAGCAGAAAACAAATCTCCTGCAATCTAACCACCTTCGCAGAATTTTGCTGGATAAAATTATTTGTCTTTATTATTTGTACAAATGATAGAAAGCACCTCACATACACAGAAAGAAAACTTTGTTTATTAAATCTATTATGTTATGTTGCCCCAAAACATAATGGTTACTTGAAAATCTGGCTACTGATAGCTAAATAACAATTACAGTATTATCTACAATGTGTGTTACCTATGAGAAACTCGCTATGCCAATCATCTGGCTTGCAGTACTGCCTTAACTCTTAACTCTAGGACTGGGATCCCTTATCACTGTTTTATCTATGAGCAGCAATGTGAAAACATTAAAAAAAAAGTTACAAGCATGGAAAACTGATAAGTAGCAATTGCAGTTAAAATATTATAACATATTGTCTTCCTGCAGAATATATAGCAATGTCTTCACCAAATGAATGACAGTTCATCTAAGTAACTTTGGCTTACTTTAGTAAAGTTAAAATTTTAAGCCTTTTATAAGAGTGCTGCTAAAATTTTTAATCATTTATAATTTCTTAGTGAAATTACCAGTAGTAAGTCGCTAGATCTCACCTAAACATCTTGTTTTACTTTCATTCTAGATGTTAAAGCAGCAAAATAACCAGAGATACAAAATATTATTATTTCTGTTATCATTGCTTGTAACACGGAGCTCCTATCTCAAGCCTAGGGCCTAATAAGTTACAATGAATGAAGATCTACAATGGTCAAGTTTTTCCCCTTTCTTTTTGTTTGTATACTATAGAAGCCTAATATTCTGAATTATACAATCATATCCCAGAATTGAGCATAAGTTTGCACTCATACTAATTTCCAGAATGTAGTTTATCATCATAATTTTAGTAGAGAACACAAATTCCTCTCAAGAGGAATTTATTTCTCTTGAGAATATGGGGAACTTTTTCCCATCTTGTAAGAGAACGTACTTCTTCATAGCTGACCATTCCCCAAAAGCTTAATACTGGCTTCATTTATAATGGTGTTGTATCACTTGATGAGCGCATATGCACACAAATCATTCATTTCAATTGAATGCTCCTTTCTCCTTGAGTAATACTGAGTTTGTAAGTGTTACCCATTCTAAAATTCCTTGACAGCCTTTTGTAGAGATTACATAAAGTTTGTAGCAAAGAATTTAAAATAAAAAAAATGAGTGTAGTAGAACCTATCATTGAAGAAGACTGTAGTGGACACATTGGTAATTTACAGTATAATTCACGTGAAAGAGAGCAATAGGCAGACAAGTGACAAGGACACATTGAATAAAGAAAAATATTCCCACAAGAATTCAAAAAAAATCATTTCTGAGATTGTCATGAGTCTGTGAAACATGGTTTTCTGAGCCATACTAAAACGAATATAAAGTATATACACTTAGCGGTTGTAGCATCTGTCTGACAAAAGAGCGACTTCTCTTCTAGAAGTTATTCTTAGTTAATATGTCTTACTATAAGGAAGTTAGAGACTTTGGCTTTTAAATTTGACTCAAGGTATAATTACCAGTTTGCACTTAATCTTAGCCAGAAGGCAAAGAAGTGATATAATTATCAATTTGGACAAAATAGCATAACCTAGTTAAATTACAAAGAAAAATATTCTAGGATGTGCAGATTCAATACGGAAACACTTCCTTGTTTCCTTAATAGAAATAATCTGTTTAGCATATTGACTTAGAGACAGCTTCTTACCGTGTAGAAGACATTAATTTCATTTCCAATGTCACCAGTGGAATTAATAAGCTCAGGGAGCGTCTCATTGGCCGCAATCGAGATGTGGTGTTCACTCGCAGAACTTAAAAGAATTAATGGGGGAAAATAAGATAAAATGCAGCAATGTTTAAGTTTATTTGACTTCATTCTTTTCTTAGTCTCTATCACAAGATCCCATAAAAATATTTGCAGAGTTCAAAACAGAGAGATTCTTTTACCCCCAGACCTCAATTAAATATTTGAGGATGCTAACAGTCACCAAATTCAGTAGGCATTGTTGCTTACTTGACTCCAATATTTTAAATTATATGTAACTTTCAAAGTAGAATTTTACTGTTATAAAGTGAAGAATCTCCATGAGTCTACTAACATTTGAACTAGGGAAAAAAATCAGACTAAAATTTGATGTATTTAGTCATGCTGAAAGTGAAGAAACTAGTTTTTTTTAAAAAGTGTTTACATTTATGCAATTTAAAATTCCTGTTACTGATAGATGAGAAAGCTCAATCTCCCTATGAAGGTCATGGTCTTTGGATGACCCCGTAGAACTTAAGACTATCCCTCAAAGCAGCACTTCAGCCAAGAGAAGACAAATAAAAGATATTTACAAATGTGTGCCAAAACTCAATTTGAATGGAGTGGAAAGCTGTTGGGAAAATCTTTGTGCTGACAGAAGCATATGCAGCAAATCAGACAAAAGACAACAGACTTCAAAGGCTAAGGAAGATATGCAAGTCTCGTGCCTAGCCTATAACCCTTGCTCTCTGACCTCTCTCAGAGAGAGAGTGCCATGAGAAACAAACAGAATGGTTGGCTGGTAGACTTGGCTGGCCTTGACTCTGGCCCCAATTTTTTTCTATACGCATTGCACATATTTATTTGAAAGAGCTTGGAATTCTGCTTCAGTAAGGGACATCATAAACAAGGGGCTCTGTGGAGCGGGCATTCACTAACATGATTAGTACTTGAAAAGAAAATATGGTCTGAACGGAAAGAATGGTTTCCCAATAGTGGGGAGGAAGAAGCGGCTGACCAATGAGAAGTGCTTTTACCTCGTGCGACAGAATGGGCGGGTAGATCCCATCTGCAGGATGAGAACAGAGACCCAGAAATATGCTGCTGACCTGTGACAAAACGCTGCATTTTGTCAAGGACTTTGGCTTCCGTTCGGGAGCAAAGACTTGCCATTAGCACATTTTATGTTGCTGTTCAGTGCACACAGGTTCTCAAAGGTACAGATGCGTGTGGATGTATGGAAGACAATGAACATGGTTGCCAGGCACCACACCAGAATTGTGTACTTGGCAGGTCTGGAAGACACTGGAGTACCTGCCACTTTAAGTGAGTGGTGATGCTCTCAGCCAGGGACTGCACTAGGAAAACTGTTCGGTGGCCAAAAAGCTGTCAATGAAAAACAGTGGCTGCTCCTACCTGTGAAACTGTAGTCCGACTTCATATTTTACTGGGATGGAAATATTTACTTCATTATCATAAAGAGATTCGGGTGGTTCTTCGCTGTCACTGGAAAACACGGTACATTCACATTAGACATTACATTTGTTTAGCCACAGACCAGCTCTAAGCATTTGAAAGAGAGGATCCTATAGGAAAATTAATAAAATACAAAATCGTAGAATTCTTCATTTGTTTTTATTGAGAGAAGTTAGAGTGGAGATAGGTATTATTATTATTATTATTATTATTATTATTATTATTATTACTTCCAAGATGATTCTACTGTGGAGTTAAGAGTTGAAAACCACACTGATTCAGACCTAAGTTTAGAAAATTGTATGAAATAATTAGAATCCACAGGCTTATTATTAAAATATTGAGATAGCTGGACTTCTGTGGCATAAAGACTTGGACACAAATCACCTTAATTTGAATTTATCACACATGAGGACTTTGTACAGAGCTAGTCTCATACAGCTAATTGTGGATCTAAAATCTTCTTTTTCTTTCATAGTCTTTCCAAAAGAGCAGTCAGTAGGCATGCTATTTCAATTTTTATGTATTTCCTTGATTTGAGGTGTAATTTTCATAATATTTGAAATTTTAATTGTTTTACACACGTATACATTATATACAAATATACCTCACACTCATGAACAAAGCATGGAGGAGAGATGTATTTTATGACCAGATAAAAGAATGGACTTGTTCTTGAACACTGGTACCTTTACATCGTTATTTAATTTCTCTCTGCCCTGGTTTTTCATCTACAAAACAGACGAGTTATCACTTAATTTTCTACAGTGGATGTCAAATAAATAGGTGCTGAGCTAAACTGAACTGAATAGAATGAGTTAATTTATCCATTAATTATTTTATTGCTTGTTAATTCATTTTCTATCTATGGAGTAATGACTAAATACAGGGGCCATGCGGGTTACTACAACAAAACCACTTGACATCGCAGGACATGTTCTGGTGGAAAACTATATTCAGCAGAAAGTTAAAACCTACTTTAAGTTCTGTATTAGTCTTTTCTCACTTTTTTCCTTAAAGAAAATATAAGTAGTATATTCTTTCTTAAGCCAGGCTGAATTCAACTTAGCAAAAAAAAAAAAAAACCCAAAAACCCAAAAATAAAACATAAATTCTTCATTCAAGGTGACACCTATTTTTCTTTTTTTTTTAATTTATTTTTCCTCTTTTTGCAAATGGATTTTTTTCTCACATAATGAATCCTAATTATGGTTTCTTTTCCCTGCACTCCTTCTAGTTCTCCCCTACTTCCCATCTTGTCTGGACCCATTCCTTTTTTGTCTTTCATTATAAATCAAAGTTCTCTAAGGCATAATTAAAATAAAATAAAAGACAAAACAAAAATCAGCACATAAGAGTTGGACAAAACAAACAAAGAAGGAAAAGAGCCCAAGAGAAGGCACAAGAAGCAGAGCCTCACTCATTTGTACCTTCAAGAATCTCAGAAAAAAATACTAAACTGGAAGCCATCATATGCACACTGAGGACCTGGTGCAGACATGTGCAGACCTGTGCAGACCGTGTGCATGCAGCCTCACTCTCTGTTACTTCAGATGAGCTTTGTTCCTGTTTATTTAGAGGGCTTTCTTTTCTTGCATGTGTTCTATGATAGTGCCAAGAAGCCTTGAATGATTTGTGTAAAATTTATTAAAGTATGAAAGGGTATCATTAAATTTTAAGTCCGTGTGATGACAGTTGACTTTGATAGACAGCTAGCAAATGTTTGAAAATTAGTAGGTCCTGTTGATCATAAATGCAGTTTGGCAGATATAAATGGTGTGTAATTACAAGACAGTCTACAGTATTACAGTAATACCTACGGTATTACCAATGATTTAGTCCAATAGGTTAAATTATTTGAGTATGAATTTCCCTACTGTTGCTAATTACTCCCAAGGTATTTTTTGTGAGGCAAAGTGGTTCATGGGCTGTTACTTCTTTTGATCTTATACCAGCTTCAAAAATCTGCCCGTGCTACTACAAAGTAAAATAATCCAATTACATGAAAGGAATGAGATGCACACATACACGTATGGTCACACACACACAAACTAACCTTGTTGCACTTAAATGAATGACTGCATTTTCTGTGAGATGTGATGTATTAAACTGGAATATTATTTTGAAGGTTACCTATGATATTAAAATAGACATTTTAAAAAACAGATCAGAAAAACATCAACTTGGAAAAACCATAGTTTATATAAATTCACTACCTAAATAGAAATCATAAAATTACTTAAGAAACATTACCTTACAAAATACAACCACATCATAAATGCATACACTCAGATACAATATGCACGTGTACTTCTAAATGTGAGTATGTGATATGATTTGCATATGGCTGTAGTCTAAATGCTTTATTTTTTCAAAGATTTTATGGTCAAGCTTAGTTATCAGTACCAGGGGTGGGTCTTTTGGCAGGTAGCAGATCATGAACATTCACATGAGTGGGATCAATGGTCTTATGAAAAAGGTACCAAAAAGCTGCCTCTCCTTCTCACTCCCCAAAGATAAAGGGAGAAGACAGATTTGAACCAAAAAAAAAAAAAATCCTCTTTGGATGATGGGCCTGACATTGTCTAGATCTTGGGATTTTCAGCTCTGTATCTATGAAAAATAGATTTCTCATGTGTGTGCCGCTCTGTTCCTGCTAACTTTTATAACAACCTGGATGTACTAAGACACGTGGTAATATTGAATTTAATACCTCATTCAAGTCAAGGTAACAAGAAGCATTTGTGCAAGCCACAAATCAAGAGGAACAATTCTACCTATTTTATTACCATAATTTCCCAGACACCAGTAATGAACATATTTGTGGCATGTTAATCACTAAAGTCTCTTCAATATACATGTTAGCCACCATTATGAAACAGGGAAACATGCTTGATTCATTAATTTTATAGTGTAAAATTTTTTGGATCACTAGACAGTAATCCAAGAAGATAACGCAAAATGGCTTAGCTCTTAGAATAAAGTATTATGAAAGGACATTGGTTTGTAAGAGTTTTCATGCATAAAACAATGCCAAAGGGGAAAAAAAGTGTTTTTCTGTACAGATATCATATACAGACAGGTCTCTTTTGAGAACCTCTACCTGTACACAGGGCCTGTATATGAATACCAACAGTGACACTAAAATGTAAATTACTTTTAAAACCAAAGATCATCTGTATGTCCTTGCCCAATGATCTCATCATAAATCTTATGAATTGTATTTCTTGATTTCAAAACTAATCTTACTTGGTGCCAATTGAAGTATTTAAAATTTGGGCCAGAAAAAACATTCCAGGAATATCAAATTAATGGAAACCACCTACAATCATATTTTTATGATTAATGTTAAACAGAAAAGTTGTGATAGTTATAGCTTGTGAACAATTGGGGCCAGTCCCTGCTGTGGGACAATGGTTTTACTTTGTAAAGATTTGTTTTTTGTACTTATTTAATAAAATGCTGATTGGCCAGTAGCTAGGCAGGAAGTATAGGTGGGACAACCAGGCAGGAAGTAGAGGCAGGGTGGCAAGAACAGGAGAATTCTGGGAATATAAAAGCTCAATCTGCAGTTGTGACCCAGATGCAGCAGACACATGATACAACTGCCTTGCCAAAAAAGGTACCAAGCCATGTGGCTAACACAGATAAGAATTATGGGCTGATGTAAGATATAAGAATTAATTAAAAAGAAGCCTTAGCTACTGGGCCAATCAGTTTAAAATTAATGTAGACCTTGGTGTATTTATATGGGACTAAACGGCTGCAGGACTGGGAAGGACAGAAAACTCAGTCAACAAGTCCCAGATGGCATGGGGCTGTGAGGTTAGCACGGCTGTATCATAGTACATATGGAATTTTCTTTTCTCCAATATATAATCTTAATTTACATTTCAAAAGAAGAAAGTGAGTTCTTTTAAGGAAGATGGCTTTTCTCTTGCCTTGGAGTATTGCTCTCCATTCTAGTAAAGGGACCTTTATTGGGTGGTTCTTCCCTATCTCTCTTTAACCTCCACACCTAGCCTGGGTACTTGACCCTTCGTATTCTCCATGGCAGAGATGCAGGCCTGATAAAATGCTTGCTTTATATCCATATGAACCCAAAATACTTAAATGAAAGTCTGTATCTTGAACCCAAGAATATTCTAAGCATGAAACTCAATTTGAAATTGCTTGCAAATTCCTCCCATCACCCTTTGTAGAACCTAAGAGAATATTTTGATTTAAGCTTTTATCACAAGCACAAGGAATTGTTGGATAGAGGATGAAATATTTAAATTCCATGCTGTCCTTGAATGGTGCAGGGAAACTGGCTACTCGGATGCCAAATGTCGGGCTCCCTTAGTGCACATCACCTAGTTCTTTCTCATGGATCACAGACCTAAGAGTAAGCAAAAATCATCTAATTCTTGGGAAAAAAAAACACTAAGAATTTCTAATCATGTATGTGGTAAGAGACTTGAATGTTGACTATTTGAAGAACACCTACAATGTAATAGCACAAAAGACAGCCAAATTTAAAAACAGAGGCAGAATGCGACACGGTGGCTTATGCTTGCAGTCCTAGCACTTAGGAGGCAGAGGCAGGAGGACTGCTGAGAGTTCATATCCTGGGCTATACTATAAGCTTAGGACTAGCCTGGGCTCCAATGTGAGACCCTGTCTCAATAAAAATGTATGGGAGCAGGTATTTCTCCAAAGACAGCAAGAGTATGCATGTGTGTATGCATGTATGCATGTGTGTGTGTGTTTGTGTGTGTGTGTGTGTGTGTGTGTGTGTATCTGTGTGTGTGATGAAAAGTTACTCAAAATGTCACCGCGTGCTGCTAGGGTAATATAAATCTAAGTTACAGTAAAACATTGCTTCACATTCACCAGAACAATCATCATCATCATCATCGTGGAGAAATTAGAGCTCTCATTCACTACTGGCTGGAACGTGCAATGGTGCATCTGTTTATCTATTATTGATTTAGCGCCTGTATTTGAATAGGACTTATTAAACGTTTAGCATTTGATTACATCTTAGTCTTCCTGAGCTTCTATAATGACATAATTTGATTGTTAATTTATGTAATTCATAAGCACTGGAGGTTTCCTTCTCATCACTCTGGAATCTGGGAACTCCAAGGCGAAAGCCCTAGAAGACTGGAGTGTAGGGTGGCCTGCTCTGGAGACACTGTATGCCATGTGATGAGACAAATCTCTTAAGCCTCTTGTGGAGCCACAGTCCCTCAGGCACCGCTTCCTACCGCTGTCACACTGGGGATGAAATTCCAGGGTACAGACTTTACAGAGACACAGGAATCATACTCTAAAAGCATTTTGCACCCAAAGTGTCTAGCCTGTATCATCACAATTCACCCATTATAAGGATTTATGTGTTTATCTTTGAGTATATCACCACTGACTGGCAATGGCTACTTTTGTTTGACCCAGGATTCTCACCGTTTCTCCTGTCCTCAGGAAAGGATAGCCCACTCTGCACGTGATATTTCGATTGGACTCACAACTATCCTTTTGGATCCCCTAAAATGGAAAATAAAAAGATGTAGAGAAGAAAAACATTAAATATAAAATGATTTATATTGATCATTTTAGAATTTTCCCAGCTATGTGTTAGCAACTGCCTTGTCAGGATTTGTCTCTTGGTTTTGCTGGGAGACGCACAGCACCAAGAACTGCCTATTTCAGAGTTCACGGACAGCTGAAACCATCACTTGGGGGTTCCTGAGGGACAAAGCACACCTTTGTCTGGCATGAGTAGTCAGGGTAACTGAGTACCAACAACACCAATGGACAGAAAACTGCAATGGGGGTGCCTCGCCCATACATCTGCACTGGTGGAGCATCACACAGGTAGGTGCAGGAGTATGGAGCCCTGAACAAGAACGAGGTTCTAACTGCAAACACCAGGACCCACCTCCTGACTCCACCCAACACTCAATACAACTAAAGAAAGGGTGGCCTTAATACAAGGTCAAGGACCTCCTTAACTATGAACTGTAGGTATTCTTCCCGCCTCTCTGCCATGGCCAAAGATATTCACTGTGAATATTCCTGCCACTTTGCCATGGCCACAGATATTCACTATGGGTATTCCTGCTTGTCTGCTATGGCCAGAAAGCCAGTTGGAGAAGATACATTTTAACACAGCTCCATTTTCAGAGAAAGTACATCAACAACAGACATCTCTCTACATTACATTTACATGTTGCATTTCTGCAATTATTTCATATTCATAATAACGTTCTAAAACCAAAATATTATTGTAACAAATGATCCCTATATCTTAGTTACTACATCCCCAAATGATATCAGAACAAATGGAGTGAAATGAGAGTAACAATTAAAATTGATGGGAACTAGAAAGCAATGTTTTAATGCTACACATTAATGTGTGAGTGTATTACAGTTCTGGAGATTGAATCCAGAGTCTCATGCATACTAAGTAAATTCTCCATTATTTAACTCATTTGTAGACCTAAAGGTATTGGTTTTTAATATAAATAAAAATATTCACATTGGCATGATTATTTTAATGTGAATCAAAATACTTTGAAATTAGTCATACACAAAATTTTAACTTGGGGATACATTTGGGAATCAGAATACAAGCTAAATTCAAATTTGGAAAAACTGACAAATGATCCAGCATTTTATGCAAGGGATTATTGTCAGATTAATGGAAGGTTAGATACTCAGATGTTATTGCCAAGATGTACCATTTATTTATAAATAAAAATAAAACATGTCATCTAACAGATATCTTTGACTAAAGTAAGAAATGTTTGTTTCGAACTTTTTCATAGGAAGAAACAATTTCTTGATTTTCTCAATGGAAATTTCTTTCAACAGATAAATTCCTCTTTGCATCTTTGTTAAATGGTTTTAGCTTTGATTATTATATATTTTATTTGACTGAATTTCAATTTCATTGACTTGATGACTGCGAAATACAGAAATTTTGAATTATCAGCTATCTTTCTTAAGTACTCAAAATATTAAATACAAGAAAAGAAAATCCTCTCCAAAGAGATAAAACAAAAGCTTGGTGGGAGGTGAAGACCAGAGAGCTGGCCCTGTGGTTAAGAGCACTGGCTACTCTAGGCTGGTCTTTCCAAAGACTTGAGTTTGAGTCCAAGCACCCATATGGCAGTTCACAATGGTCTGTAACTTGAGTTCATGGATCCAACGTCCTCTTTTGTCCTCCGTGGTGCTAGATACCAGGCACACATATGGTGCACAGATATACACGTAGGCAACATACCCACATGCATTAAATAACAGTTTTAAATACCTTAAAAGCTTGCAATTATGACCATTAGTGTATTCTGATACTTAACAAAAAATCCTTTCTGCTCTTCTCAAATCAATGTTATAAAATTAATTAGTTCAGTGGCATGAAAAAGAGGTTCAATTAAATTACCATGATTAGAATGAGTGAAAAACAGCAAGTTTACCTCAATTCCTGAAAAAATCAGATTCGGGGAATGCCGCACTATTGTCCTGGTGTTGTAGGCGCTGTCTCTTTTGTTCCTCACCGTGAGACTGAGATTGAACTTGTCATTCTGGGACCTGACAATCAGCAGGCTGGCTTCTGTGGTGGACACGTCCAGGCTGAGGTCTGAGATGCATTTTTCCTTGTTTCCACAGTCTTTGGCAAAGGGAATCTGAAAGGGGCACAGGCACAGATATTTCATAGTGTAGTTAAACATCACTGAAAACCACCTATTAAGTTGTGTAACAGAAATGGCGTAGCACCCAGGGAAGAGAGAACGTAACAAGAAAGTTGACTGCACGGCTGAAGTCTTAAGGGGTTTTACATTTACTGCTGGCTTTATAGGAGAAAGAATAAATGTTGACTTGTAGTCTTAATTTTCAAGACCTTTAAAAAAAGGTAGATTTCATAGGTATTTCACACTGGCATCTGTTTCCTCGTGAAGGACAGTTTCCAAACTGCAAGTCAAGAACTCCAAGATCTAACTCTACACAGCTTCAGTTAAATGACTTCCTACTAAAAAGAAGGGAATATTGAAGAAGCCATGGCAGGAAAATGGTTTAGCCACGTATCTGGAAGCTTCTTCACTTGATTCTTCTCTTTAAATTTCACCTTCCCCTGATCCAGTCTATCATCACACACATGTCTTTCCTAGCCTCTTTCTGTATCTTCCAAGTCCCCTGGCCCCTCTTCATCTCCTCCTCGTGTTAAAGCAGCCTTTTCTTCCGGCATTCCGTACCCTTCAACCATTTAACACATTGCGGCAGCTGTAGTTTTTAAGCAGCATGCATCTGGTACCCACTGAGCTCAATTAAAACAGTCGACAGCACCACACTGTCCGTGAAAACGTCTATAATCCGGGTGGTGGCACCAAATCCCGGAAGATCTCACTCTGGCCCGTGAGTCCAGCCGTCTGCTCTATCATCACCTTCACCTCTGCGCTTTGGTTTCAGCTACAGTGGCAAGCATCTTCCGCCCCTTTGGTGGCTCAGTATCCTCACACATACTATCATCCAGCCATACTGCAAACAGGGTGGAAAATCACCCCGTCTTTCAGGCGCGACTTAAAAGCCGCAGCTACGTGGGGGAGTTTGGAAGGAGGATGAATGGGGAAAATGAACTTTCCGTCTCTACAGCTTTTCTCCATATGGCTATCCACGTGACATGCTTTCCCCTCTGTTCCCTCGGTCGCTCTCAGATGTATGTGTACCAGTGAACTTTGGGAGCGGAACAGAGGCAGAGCAGTACAGTCTCTTCCCATCTCTTCGGTTTTGGGGGCAACGTTGTGCCCACAGGAAGCAAATATGCTCTGCTTTTTCATGTCCAAAGCTGTGGAGGTTTTGTTGAGAATGGCTTCCCTGGGTTTCCATATTGGAATGCTTGGTCCCCAGTTAGTGGGACTGTCTGTGATAGATTAGGAGGTGTGGCCTTGGTAAAGAAGGTTTGTCATTGGAAGTGGGCTTTGAGGTTTAAGAGCCCAAGTCAATCTCTCTCTCTCTCTCTCTCTCTCTCTCTCTCTCTCTCTCTCTCTCTCTCTTCCTTTCTGCCTGCTTCCTGCAGACAAGGATGGGAAGTACTCAGCTACTGCTCCGGGGCCACGCCTCTCTGTTTCTCCCCACGATGATCATGGACTAACTAGCCATCTAACGCTGTAAGCAAGCCCCCAATTACATGCTTTCTTATCTAAGAGTTGTCCTGGTCATGATGTCACTGCATAGCATTAGAACAGTGATTAAGACACAAGCTTTGACACCACAGGCCTCCGCCAGGAAGGCCAGGGATGAACCTACACTGTTGACTAAGGGTTAGCTGTGGCCCAAGTATGAGGTCCAGTATGAGCGCATCGTTATTTCTAAACTGCGTCTCATAACTTCGTGCTTCTTATGTCAAATGCTTTTCCAATTGTTTATTTATAGTTCCCTTCAACCCCAGCAGGGAAGTTAGAGGGACTGGGAGAAGTCTAGAATTGTCCAATTCTCTCTCTGTCTCTTTCTTCTCCTCTCCCTCTCTCTAACACACAATTGATTTGAATTATGTGCCTATGTGTTTTTAGATTTTCTAATACGCCCAAAAGCAGACATTGTAAGTTTATCTCACGTGTTCGTGGACTGAGTTTGGCAGAGCATCATCCAGCACGGGCCCGTTTTCTGGGTCGGTGAGATTAAAATCCAAAGTCACTCTCACAGAGTCCTGGAAGTCATGCTTATCCTACAAGGTGAAACAGAACATTTGTCAGTGGGATCAGCTTTGCTGGATCTTATGACTCTGCTGGAGCATCCTCCTGCCCCTCTAGTTTACTGGAACCTTCCTGATCACTGACGTCATACCTCAGGAGGCCTTTGCTTTGCTGAAGTGGTATAGCTTTTCCATTTTGACAAGGATAATAGCTGGGAAACGGCTGCTCCAGAATGACAGGTCACTCCCCTAGAGCTCCATAGAGGGACTTGCTGGAGTCCCCCTCCCCCGGTAGCCCCCCTGCCTGAATATACCACCCTGAGCTACACAATAAAAATATTGTTGTTCTTGAGACCCATGCCAGTACTCACTTCTTGGAAAGCGTCTCTCTTGCTTTAAGGACAGACTCACCCAATGCACCTGTATTTCACTCATATACATCTAAACGTATAAAATTTTACAATGCATAGATATGGAAACGATGTGAACATGATTAATGTTTTCCATTTCAGTAAGAACCATCATTTTTGATGTCATAAACCACGGTCTTCATATACATTGCTGTGAGCTATCTCATTGCTCTCTAAGGTGGGTAGCTATGAGGAGTCTTATTTTACACAGCGCCTCTGAGACTAAATGACTTGCCCATAGTCATTCAGACCCTGGGGCAGCTGGGATATACACCGCATCCCCTTCAGTTCCACAGCAAATGCTAAAACGCCTAGGGCAATCCAGAGGGTTTGGGTAATGTTTAAAGCTAGTTCATTCCTCTTAGCTCTGGTCCCTGGACACAGCTCATACGCTGCCCTTGTGCACAAGGCTGCAGTCAGTGTCTGCACACTGGAGCCAGATCTGTCTGCTGCTCATCAAATTTTCTACAAGTTCTGACCCATCAGTTCTCAGTTCCGAATAACTTCTGAGGGGGACAACTACACAGCCGTGCCCCCCAGCCTCTCAACCTGGAATAAGGCAGCTGTAATACATGATTTACTTGCCAACATGTAGAAGGAGTGCCTAGTGCATTCTGATTCTCGAACCGTGATATTTCTTTGAATCTTTCTTTCCTGAGTTCCAGAGAAAAAACTCCGGGATATCTGTCTCAGTGAGTCGAGGGTGACGCGGTACTGCAAATCTATGAACAGGAAGGGACATTGGACAGACATGTTTATTTGGGAACGACTTTCCTGTGATCCTACTCCAATTAACATTGCAGTAAAAGCTCTCGAGCAGATGAATAGATAAAGGGTTCTACACGGAGAGTACCTATATTGCTACAGTGTAGACATAGAGGCGATCGTGGAAATAACCTTGAAAGCCTATGCAGTGGCTCTCTGACATGACCATGCATTTAACATTTAAGTCATAATTGTGTGTAATGTACTCATATACACACACTCACATACATAAATTATGAACATACATGTGAATTGTGGTTTGAATTTACTAAATTTACCAAGTCTGAATTTACTAAATTTGTGTTCAAGATAAATTTTTTTTAGTTTAGAAATGTTGGCAAACAGCCTGGGATACTGTTTGTTTTTATATTAGGTTCAATAGAGACAAAAATAAACAAAGGGCATTTTTACCTTTTTGTAGAAACATGCCAACTTAGATTATATCCAAAACATAAAATTCTACAAAATAAGCCCTTCTAGCTTTGACCCCAACATATTTCAACATCATTGAAGACTGTCCTAGACAGTTCAGAGCATAAGGCAAAGGGGACACACAGATTGGTACTACACACCCAAGGGCCACACACAGAATAAGTCTGGCCATAAACAAGGGCCTCATCTCGACGTTCTCACTGAGAAACTTGGACTAGGTGTGAAGCAGTCAGGCCATCTGTAATACCAGTCTTCCCCAGCAGGGGGCAGGAGAAGGGAGAGGATTCTTTTTCAAACAATCTCATTTACAGACCTTTTAAAACGCTCCCTGTGAAGAGTGTATATAATATAAATATATGGGGAGGCACAGGAAAAGCATGGAATTTCGTAGTCAGTGCTTTCTAACTTGCAATTTCTGCTGCAGAATTTACTAGGTTCCAGAATGGTTCCTCCTAGAGGAGTGGTTTCAGGGGTCAACAGGCTCACAGGGCAAAAGCTTGGAGCTAAAAAAGTTAATGACACTGGGGAGAGGTCCTCATGCTGGAGCCAACACATTCTCTTCTGCCCCAGAGTACTTGCTGCAATCATGATGCTTACCAGCTTCGTAATCTGAGTCTTCTTTAGACTTTAATTTCGCATAGAAACATATTGTAGCGTTTATGCATACTGTTTCTTTTCCTTCCACGCGGCAGTTTTTCTTTTGAATATTCACTTTGTTGGGTTCAAAACTCATGGTCACTTTAACTACAGCCACATCCCTGGCCCTGCAAACGCATAAACAACAGGATTACTCACACACGGTAGCATTTAGCTGGGCTGGGCAGGGACAGTGCATCAGAGGCCAATCTCCTCTGTGTACTGTTGTGTGCTTTCAGGCTATTGTTCTCTAATGACTGCTTGATACACAAACCATAGCATCTCATCTCCTAGCAGACCCCTGTTGTTTAGAACCATCTCAGACATTTGGTTCAAAGACAGAAGACTTAAAATGGAACCAACTGGCCAGGTGCAAGCTCAGAATCAAAATAGTATTGGGGGATCTCTAAGTTTGCTTCCAATTGGGGAACGGTTCAAAGGCACCTAGGAAACTAGCCGGACCCTGCTGGCTTTCATCAAAACTAGAACACCTCTCTGTTCTTGAAGATGGGGCCTTGCTTTGGTTTCCTGGAGGAAGAGCTATGTTCGAGACCCTGTGAGAGTCTGCTGTTTCATGTAACTGCTAAGTTAGCTTTAATCATCAGACACACTGTAGTCCCCGCTCCTTACCCATGGCTTGGCTTCCCATGGGTTTCGGTTACTCATGGGCAGATCGCCTGGGCCCAAAAATATTAGACAGAAAACTCCAGGAAGGAAAGAAGAGTGTTTTAAATTATGCACTGTTCCAAGCGGCATGATAAAATTTGTACTTTTCCCATTGTCTGTCTGGACTGGGAAGCATCCAGAGTGCCCGCCTTTACATTTTAATGGCAATTTACTCTACCAGTGAAGGCATATGGCATGTTGCACTTATCCTCTTCTATTAGAGTTTTCGTTTCTTTTCTGTTGTTTTTTTCCTCCTTGTGTGCCTGAAGTGCATGTGGAGAATGGAGGCCGATGTGAGGTTTCCTCTTCCACCGGCCTCCATCTTTCTTCCTGAAAAGTCTTTCTCTGAACAGCTCACTGATACAGCTAGGCTCCTTGGCCACTGAACCCAGATAGTTAGGATCTGCAGACACAGCTCCTTTCCAGAAACTCTCACTCACACCACCCACATAGGAACAACACGGCAACAGATGGAACCCTGGTGCAGGAGAGGTGGATAAGCAAGAATCCCCAAGGGCCAAGTACATAGTTGAGAACCAAATTAAGAGTTCATTCTACCCACTCCTATTCAGCTTCTGTGTTCTTGGGATTCCCTGATGCATCAACCCATTGGATAACTTGCATCTTGCCAGTACAATAGACGTTTGATATGACAAGAGTTCTATTCATACTATGTGGTCTAGAATCATGGAAAATGCCGCCAGTTGCATAACCAGATGTTATAACATACATACCAGAAGAGGGCAGCTCCACCGAGGCCTCCGATGGTCACATCAGTCAGACCATCACCATTTAAATCCATCTCTCCATGGATAGACTGGCCAAAAAATTTCAGGGTCTTGCCATCCCCACCTGATGGAATACGCTGTGAAAATCCCAACAGACAGGTTGATGGTGGAAGAGACCCATTCAAAATAGTTTTGAGTAAATCTGAGAATTTGGATTAGTGCATAAAGTTGGAAGTAAAGCTCCTTTGGGGACTGAGAGGGCCCTGAGTGGAAGCAAGAGAAAACACAGAGATAGCCCCAAAGGAAATTGTTCTTCCTATAGCCCAGACTGTCATGTCAGGGTCAGAGACTCAGAGAGAGGCATGCTGATGTATAATGTCCTTCTGTCTACTGCTCAAGTGGAAATCTGAGCCACAGGCTCCATTTACACTTCTTTGTCAATTCTAATAAACAGATATAGTCTAAGGTCCTGGAACCTTTGAAAACACATTCATTGTTTTGCAATGTATATGCAAGAGGACAAACAGATGACTGCATGGGACAATTCAAAAACTGTCCTAAAACACGCATCTCTACTCACATCCACCCCAATGTAAGGAAGGCACCGTGACTACGCGGTTCTTGAATGCTCACGTGTGCACCTGTGCACCTCACCTTCCGTGGAAAGTGATTTTCCTGTGCTCTGAAGCTCAGTGTTTGTCCGAGCAGATACCATTTTGATAGCCCCTGTCGGCAGGGAGACAGGACTAACAGACTCGTCCTCAACTTTAAGTATTCTTTTCCTTCTCGATTCTTTTTAAGTAACAAAAGGGAAGAAGTCAAGTAGGAAAAACTGATGTGGAAATGTGATATGTCTCCTCGAGAAATATTCCCAGAATTCTTCAGCAAACAAATCAGGAGCTAGGTGCCCCATCAGTCCCGAAGGAGCTAATGCTGCTTGATTCTGGGTTACACTGCCTTTCCGGAAGTGGGTGAATACACCCTTGCCTGTGCCCTGGGAAAGCACTTTCCACCGAAAACAACTGAACTCTAATACTGTTTGGTTAATTTGTTTATAGCTGCATTTTGATTTGCCAGTCCTTTAAAAATGCATTACTTATGACAATTAAACATCTTTCTTTGCTCCAAATGCCATCCACTGGACCTGCAGGATTCATACTGAAAGAACAAAGCAACAAAATACAAGAAACCTCTTTGTGTGTATTTCCTGGTTCCCCAATGCCCCAAAGTGGTTAATGTCCCAATGCCTGCCACTAGTTAAGTATATAATCCCACACAGATTTTTAACCAAAACAAATCATTTGTCAAATGGACGGGAGTGTTGTTACTTATATAAGCCTTTTATTTTGTTCACTATTAATTTAATGTCATTATAACTTATAAAAAGTTAACTAAGTATTACATAAGTAGGTTTTGAGTATTCTGTTGGCTACAAAAATAAAAGAGACCATTGAAATGTAAAAATAAATAGCTAATGTCTGGCTTCTCTTCATGGCTTAAATTCTAAAGAGTGCTGTTTTGTTGAATTATAATATATCTATTCATAATCACTCACTGCTTAACTAAATATGATTATAAACTGCCCATTACATTACAACTTCTCTAAACTCTCTTTTGCCTATGATGTGTTAAACATTTATGCGAATGAATATTTTTTCTTATGCAGTTAGAAATTAAATTTATAGTTTAGGTCAATAAATGTCAAACTGCTTAACTATCAATAAATTTAAAACAAGAACAACACAAATCCCCTGAAGGTCCAGATTAATCATTTACAAGTTTTCCAAGAAGGATTACTTGGAAAATAAAAGCTCTAAACCTCAGAAACCCATATTAATTTGATGAAAATATATAATATTAATTTATAATTATAAATTTAATATAATTTTGTTAAATAACAATATGGGTACTGAAAAAGAAAAACAACACAATCTCATCTCCTTTATTGACTAAATGACACTTTTTTTATTTTTTTTATGTTTTGGTTTTTCGAGACAGGGTTTCTCTGTAGCTTTGGAGCTCTTATAGGCCAGGAAGACCTTGAACTCCAGAGATCCACCTGCCTCTGCCTCCTGAGCACTGGGATTAAAGGTGTGTGCCACCACCACCCGGCTCTAAATGACACTATTATTGCTCCCTTACTCTTTGGGGTTAAACGCACTATAGGTGTCAAATCAAATTATCACCAGGCGTTCTTGTGTTCTTTTATTTTACCATTTCAAATGATCAGGTTCAAGAAGGCAGGCAAATAGTCACAGACAGCAGCATAAAATGCTAACTAATTCTTTCAAGAAAGAACACAGGAGAAAGACTTACCTAGCTTCCCCAAAGAGTCAGAATAAAGAAACAAAGTAAGGTATGAGCTGTGGAAAAGACAGATGAGACCCCTGGGCAGGGAAGAGTGAGAGCCTAGGGGGACCTTGTGTCTTACTTGGGCATAGTCCTTCCTTATGGTCTTGTCACTGCCATGATAGATGTACACAGCTCCTGCGTGGTCGTCCTCCAGAGGAGCCCCGATCACCACGTCATTAAACCCATCCACATTGAGGTCTTTTACAGCAGCAATTGCTGTTCCAAACCGGGCCCCGCAGGGCTCGTTCTTGTTTTCTTTTGTGCATGAATTATCCTTCAGAGATGAACAGCACGTCTGCTTAATTGGTTCCAGGCTCATTTGATATTCAAACCTTGTCTGGAGGGAAGACAAACAGAATGCTTAAGTGTTCCCAACACTGCTACAGAGGAGTAGGCCTGTTTTTAAGAGCGTGCTGAACCAACCTAACAAAGTAACCATTGGAATACCAACGGCAAACCTGTAAAATATAGGAAAAGGTAGGAATGCCAAAGGAGCCCTGGAGAGCAGGCATGCTCAGAATTCCAACGGGCTCTTCTTAATGAAGCCAAGGGTATAATTAGTAGCATGTTTTCGACCTATTAAAGAAGTAAATATGAAAACCTCCATTGTGTCCCCAGCCCTGCTTTCCCAACAATGTTCATTCTCCACCGAAGACAAGGACGAAATTTACTCTGCTCAAAATGCAAACCTTCAAAAGTTGCTTGGAGTAGAGGGAAAGATATACAATGCTAACAAAGAACACTCTTTTATTGGAAAAAGAGGGAGGGACAGAGAGAAGGAGGGACAGAGAGAGGGAGGGAGAGAGGGAGGGAGGGAGGGAGAGAGGGAGGGAGGGAAAGAGGGAGGGAGGGAGAGTACATAAATTCTTTTCCCAAACACATGGGAGAAAGCCAAGAAAGAGATAGGAAGAAAGGTATGCAATTTGTGATTTAAAATAATTAGTATGAGGTAAAATAAGAATTAAAAAACAACACAAAACAAGCCATGAAGGCAAAAATTACTTCTCCAAACAAATGATGTCTAAAATTAGGATTGAAATCAGAATCTCCCTTCGCCTGGCAAAGCGTTCCAAAACCCACACTGTCTCCCAGGAAGGGCTTGGTACCGTTGTCTGTCACCGTGGTAAATGTGTAAGCCTCCAACCTACGCAGGCTCTTGAATAGGTTTATGAGCAGGATTGTGTACTAGGTGAGTGACATTTGCATTTGCCATATTTTTCCTGTATATTCCAGTTTTTACAAAAGGACAAAACAAAACTGGGTAGTAACAACAAAAGCAAACAAAAAGCGTATTTCATATTTTCAAGCAAAACATAATTAAAATCTGAAAGTAGTTTTCTAGGGTTCTAAATGTTCCTTTTGAAACTGTGAAGTTGACTGGGCCTTGCAAACTTAGATCTTTTTCTCCCCTCAAGCAAGTGAAAGCTAGTCCAGCTGCATTAGTGGGAACTGAAGGGAAGGGTCTTTTTGGATTCACCAATCTCGAATGCTGTTACCTGGTTCACAGCGTAGACATACACTTTGCCCTGTTCCTCTTTCTCTGTCCCCATGTACATGGGAGCCCCGACGAGAAGCAGGTCAGTATAAGAATCTTTGTCAACGTCAATCGTTGTCAAGACGCTACCAAAGTAGGAGCCGATCTAGGACACAAGACAGAAGAGGCGGGGATGAAATCACAGAAGCTACCATGCTCACTATAAACAACACTTGGTTTTCATCCTTGCAAGTTTCTTTCTGTCCTTTCATCTCCTAAATTTTGTCCTGCGCTAAAGGTCAGGCCTGTATTCGTCTTTGGATTCTCTAAGGCTAGATGGAGGTGCTTCCCCAGTGTGTTCTCTGTGCACTGACCGTCTCCTTTGCCAGGCTGGAAATGAATGCGAGGAAGCATTTTATAAAGCTCTTTCGGTGATCCTTTAAGGTACAACTGCACAGACATTTGAAAAGTTTATAATTTGAACTAATTATACATTTTAAAAAGCCAAAAAAAATAATCCCCAAGTCCTTACACTGTTGGGTATTCGTTTCTAGAGTCACTGGCCCTCGGCAGCTCAGAGTGAGTTCATGAACTTCCAAGGTCCACGGTTTCCCAACTTCCTCAGTCTTATTCCCAGCAGCTTTGGTCATTAGACTTTGTGTTGTCACAGGAAACATGTCTAAGTATAATAATTAATGTTCTCTAGTTACCCCAACTCAAGAATGGTTTACCTTGTAATCATGGCACAAGCTTTTTGAAAGAATCTCAGGCTTAGAACAGAAATTATTATTATTATTTAAATAGCATCCATGACATCCCCCTTTACTTACCATAAGAATGTTTGTTTCATATTTTTATATTCCCTTATACTTGCAGACAGCTTCAGAATGGTATCAGACTTCAGTTGTCAACAACAACAACAAATAGCATTTTCTAATTCTTCGGCTTCACTTATGGCCGACTTAAACCACTGTCCCTCTTCCCTTTGCATTTCATAATGTTGCTAAACCATTTCAGGTGGTTCGAATGCCACCTTGAGCTACAGTGATAGCTGTTTTATTGTTCATGAGTTTCTGAATGCATATATGGCTAAATTAATAGAATCCTTTCACCTGAACGTGAGGAACTACCTCTGCCATACTTTGGGATGCCTCAGGAGTCGGCTGAGGACAGCCTTCCTGCACTGCTGAGCCATGCTGATGTGGGTGAAAATATCCTTGAATGGGATGCTGCATTGAGGCTGGGTGGAATTGGAAGAAAGCTCTTTGTGTATTATGTGGCTTCTGAGACTGTGGTGGCCTTTTGCAGAGCCCCTTTGAGCTATGGTTATGCTACCATAAAGGACACTGTTCCTCTAGGGCTCAGGGCTTTAACACTCGGGTCACTTCTAGACCTCCTCAGTGTGATTCCTGATACCTGGCTGCGGGTTATGACGGCATAAGGAGGAAGGTTGATTTCAGATCTGCCTACCAAGGACTGAGCAGAACATCCTTGCATATGGCAGAATGAAGTTAAAGAACTCTCACTGTGGGATGCTTGGAAAACCCACAAAACCATGAGAAGAAAAAGGACAAAAGTTACTCAAATTACTGCTCAAAACTAAACACTGAGCAGCACAATCACAATACTTTTCAGTCTAATGCAGTAAAATTATTAACATTTGCCTACTGTATGTGCAGTTTCCTAGACAACTTTTAATATTTAAGGATATTTTAAAGAATTTTCCGGTTTTACATGTTGCATAAAATTTCCCATTCCCTACAGTATGACCTGATGCGCTGAATTGGACACTTAAATGTTGACACAGTTTTAAGTCTTTCCCCTCAATCTTCTCATCTATTTCCCATCTTTCCTTTTAGAGCCAGCATAAAGTTTATCCCTTATTGGTTTCCAGTACCAATCATAACTTAAGGCCACTTTTCTTCTTGTGAATGTTCCCTGCAACCGCCCTCTCATAATTCTTAATGTTTTAGATCTTAGTATTTCTCGTATAGTTTGAATAAAACTGCAGGTGACATCTAATATATGTATAAAGCTACCTCTTCCTCATTCCAGCTGTTGTGCTTATGACATCTAAGTTTTGACTACTTCACACCCCTCCAAAGAATCAAATAGAAAGCCTTCTACACAACGGGTTTTGAATAATTGGGATTTTTAACTTCTAGGTCAAAAGTCACAGAGGATATACAAATGACACAGAACAATTTATCTCAAGTTTACCTGCTCTCCCTTGAGTGTCTGGAGAATTTTGACATTCCCATCCTCCATCTTGTAGATGACGACCTGGCCCGTGTGATTGTACCGAGGCTGTCCAGCGATATAGAGCACGTCTCCAGGGAGCGTGGCAGAGTTCACTGTGTAACCTGACCAAAGAGAGATCCCAGAGTGTACCTGGACCCTCAGAGTCCTAGGTAATACAGCATGACTTACTTTAGATGCTTAGTTAGTCTAATCATTGTGTATTTTCTTGCATTTTGTGCTGGTGAGAAGCCTTTACTGTGCTTCCCGTTTCTCTCACAGCTGATGGCTCTGAAAGGCTGGTTTTCCCCAAACCGAATCTTTCATTGTTTACAGATGCAAGTGATACTACAAAAGAGATGATGGAAAAGGGGAGAAGGTTCCTCCATGCAAGTGTGCACAGCCATGCACACTCACGCCCACCTTAAAATCCTCCGGCCACCATGTTAGAGCAAATCAATTATATTTTATTTAGATCAGTGGTTCTCAAACTGTGGGGTGTAATCTCTTTGGGGTGGAATGACTCTTTTACAGGAACTGCCTAAGATCACTAGAAAACATAGATATGATTCATAACAGTATCAAAATTACAACTGTGTAGTGATAATGAAAATAGTTTTATGGTTGGGGGTCACCACATGAGGAACTGTATTAAAGAGTTGCATCATCAGGAAGGTTTAGAAACACTGCTTTAGAAGCTGCAATATCAACACTCATAGTTTAATATACTCAGGATGACAGAAAGCAAATTATGCTCCTGCATTGCTAACCAAATTTCTACACTGCAAATTGAAATGGATGAAGGTGGTTTGTATTGTATCATAGAGGTATTGCCTTTACTTCCTGGCCATTTGCTGATGGGATAATGGGATTTGGGTATTTTTTATTATTGTTATTTTGTTTTTTGTCTGTTCTAAAAATTTTTGCACTAAAACTTTTTTTCCTTCTTTTGAATATTTTTTTTACAATAAGTTTAAAATAATAGATTGCTGGATCAATTTCCCTCATTCTTACAATGTGAGGTGAGTTGCTTCCATGACATTCAGACTAGGGTTATTCTATGAACTGCTGTATGCGAGCAGTTTTGTTTCATTACAGCTCCCCAAGTACCGAATATGAGTACTATGATTTTATAGATGTGGATATTTGCATGACTGTAAGTTATCTAACAACAGTTCAATGCTATAATTTTTAACTCTTTTTTTAATAAAAATGAGGGTTTCCCCCCCACACACATCTACTCATCTCACTTTCTCCGTGCTCTGTAAAATGTGACTTTTTATATCTGCTTCTACTTTCATCTGCATGTATTGTTTTATGTTGACTTTTCTCATGAGCCATGCAACTTTTTTTCCTATTTTTCTTTCTCTCCCAGGCCACCTCCACTTAAGGTTTAAGCACACCTCGTTCCAGTTCAGTCAGCATCGTTCTGTTATGGCAGAGCGAGCTCACGCATGGGTCAATCTGATCACAGGCTCTGTGCCCTCATGCACGCATCATAGCTGCCTCTGTTGATTTAGCTCAGTAACCAGGGATCGCATGGACAACTCCCAAGTTTGCCATTACCTTATATATTTTTATACAGGTGCAGCAAAAGTTCCGCACCCTTGTTGGGCATTCACCCTTTTGAGGCCTTGGGCCCACTTATAAGTCCGTCACTGCGGAGATGGGAGGACCCACAGTACAACAGTAAAGTCACTATTCAGATCTGTGGTGGCTTTTCAGATATTCATAGCCTGGATGGTCTGGGGAGTTTCTCAGATGTTATTTTTAATGATGAATACAGTGTCTTGAGTATCTTGATATGCATGATTTTTGAGGGGAGTTCTGGCTCAAATGCATAACGAAGAGATCACTCTTGGCCAGCTAGGAAAAGAGTTTGCATTGTGGCTTTAAGTCAGATTATTATTATTTCTGAAGGAAAAGAATTTTGTATTTTGTATCTGTATAGAATGGAGCTAAATCAGTGGGTAACTCGCGTTACACATAGGGTTGATCTCTGCAGAAGGAAGCAATGTTCTAATAGCCGGAAGAGGTTTGTTACTGGAGAAGACAAGGGTGATTCGGAAGTGAGCCACAGAGAGCCACTTCCAGCTGTGAGAGAGATCATATTTTTAATTTAAGTAGTACCTATTTTACTATAAGTTAAATAATTCTTCTTTTGTAGAAGTAATATGTTTATAAAAATGCTAAAGGAACAACATCTCTTAGGTATATTATCCTTGGTGAATTTTTCCATCTGTTTTCGTACCTTCTACTTCCTTTATGAAGGATGAGTTTTGTCTCGCTTTGTACCTCTTTGACAGAAGCAAGAGCTGTGGTGATGGAATAGGAATGTATGACTTATCTTCATATCGTGCCTTTACCTTATGTCTTGCTCCTTTCGAGTTTGTCAGGCGTGATGAGAACACGGTACGGATATATTAGGGAAAGTGTGGATGAGGGTGACAGAGATGACAGATTTACCCACATTCTCACCACCAAACCCAGACTCAACGGGCTAAGTACACACTGAGACAGGTTAGGGGGTGCTAAGAAGATGGGTGGGCGACTCTGTCCTGGAAGCCACACCTATGCTTCTTTTCACACTGCCTCCTTTGCATTGATAAACACATATATTTCAAAGTGGGTGGGCCTCTCAGCTTGCTTCCTTCCGAAGATTTCATATGGCCTCTCTAGCTGTCTTTCGCCCAGATTTCCGAGCAGTGAACTGAGTTTCTTAGTGATTTTACAATATCCACAATGAAATATTTGAAACCCTTATTTCAGATTTGAAAAAAAAATCATTTGAGGATGGGTTAGTGGAAGCATATGAAAGATATCTTACACCTAGTAGACACCTGTAGGTAAATGTCTTATATCTTAACGTTTGACTAAAGTGATAAAATGAACAAAAAAGACATTAGTATACTACAGATAGCATACGCAAATTCCTTCCTTTCCTCAGCATAGAGGACCCATAAATATGTGCATCTATTTATATCTATGTACGTTGTCAACTAGTAATTTTTCCAGTTTCATTAAGTTGTGAATGATTAGAGGGGTGGATAAAGAAGTAAGGCTATTTTAATGTTTTCTTATATGCAATTCAATCTTTAAATTTTAAATTATTTAAGCATGCATTAATCAACACTAACTCAAAGCATAGGGTAATAACGGATTTAGGACTTTGATTGAAAGAATTAGATCACAGAATCCTAACCCAGAATTCCAAAATACTGCACTGTGCAATTAACAATTCGAGTAAGTGAGTATGGGAAGAGTAGAGATGACCACGTCGAGCACGTTTGTGCTCTGCATTCAGTCTTCAACTGTCAGAATACTTGCTAGCAAGAGGATCAGTGCTAGAAATTGTAATATTCCACAAACCTGTGTTAGTTTTCTACTGATGCTATAACAGATTAGTATAAACTTATTAGCTTACAACATCATTCCAAATGCCTTATTTTGCAATTCTGTATGCTAGAAGTCCTACATAGCTCTTTCTCTCTCTGGACTATAGTGAGAGGCAGGTGGGGCTATGCTCCTTTCTGAAGACTGTGGAGAAAACACACTTCTTTGTCCTTTGTGACCTAGAACTGACGTATGTTCCCGCCTCCTCCTTTATTGCCAACAACACTGTATCTCTCCGATCATCTCCTACAAATCTATCTCCCTCTAAACACATCTAAGAAAGATTTTTCTATTTCATCATTTGGTCATATTAGACTCTGGCAGTGTGTACTGACTGGTTGTGTGTGTCAACTTGACCCAAGCTAGACTCATCAAAGAGGAAGGAGCCTCAATTGAGGAAATGTCTCCAATGACATCCAGCTGTAAGGCATTTTCTCAATTAGTGATCCATGGGTGAGGGCCCAGCACATGGGGCTGGTGGTTCTGGGTTCTATAAGAAAGCAGGTTGAGCAAGTCAGAGGAAGTGAGTCAATAAACAGCTCCTGTCCATGGCCTCTGCGTCAGCTCCTGCTGCCAGCATCCTGCGCTCTCTGAGTTGCTGTCCTGACTTCCTTTGGTGGTGAACAACAATGTGGATGTGTAAGATGAATAAATTCTTTCCTCCCCAACTCTCTTTTGGTCATGGTGTTTTGCCACAGCCATAGAAACCCTAAGACACAATAGATCTAAGAATGATGTATCTCAGGATTCTTCATATAGTTACAGGTGGAAGTTCTTTCTGTCTCATAAAGTCACACATTAATAGGTCCAGGGATTAGGGCTAGGACATTGGATTTGATTTTGTTAGTTTGTTTTTGTTTTGTTTTGGGTAGAGTCTTAAAGTGAACTTCTGGCAATGTAGAATGATCCTTGCTGTGTTTCTGCAAACACACGATCATAGGAATTATAATTTACATTTACAAATTCATCCAACACATGTGATGATAAATGTTCTGTAACTGTTCTATCTAGGAAAGAAAGAAGCTTCAGGTTAAATTGGATTTTGATTCCAAGGTCTTTCACATATAACAATGCCCCAAGATCTTTGGTTATGAAGAACTTTGGAGGCTGTGTGAGCTAGGCCCCCACCACTGTCTATCAGTTCTCCGTCTTAGCCCATAGCACACCGAGAGGGACTGCTTGTTTCTTGACTGTTTCTCATCCAAAACAATACCTGCTTCACTCTGCCTTATCCATTTTGCCATTTTTAATTTGCCTAATATTTCTGGTACAACATAGGCACTCTGTATTTGTGGGTGCTTTCCCATTCACCCCAGAATCAGGTATTTTGCTACAGGGAAATGAATACTAGTGTGAGCTTCAGGGGACCTGACTGGCACGTTGGAGCTGCTCCAGGTAACTGGAGCACAATTGCTTTGTCCTCTGATGATTAATTTAGAAACCACATTGAGTGTGTCTCTCACTGTTAAAGCTCAGCATGAAGCGCGAGCTCAAGCCTGACAGCATGGACCACGCATTCTCATCTGTTTCCCCCACACAGTACACTTCCTGCTCCAGCTTCCAGTCACTTGGAGATTTGGAGGAAGCTGAAGCATTTTCACGTCTGTCTTCTCTAAATCATCTTTACTCTAAATCATTTTTGTCATTTGGGCTTTGAGTTGTTTGATTCTGTTTGTTTTCTGGGAGGAGGAGGAGAATGTGATGACTTCTGTGAGGAAGAAGATGGCAGCTTCGTTTATGTCCCTTGTTGGGTCTTAGGCTTTGTGATACCTCTTCTGCTGTGTCAACAGAGACCCCAACTCCCAAGTCCTGCTGCCTCTGCAGCTGTCACACGAGCTCTGAGTAAGGAGAGATGTGGAGGCACCCAGAAAGACTTGGCGCTTTCCTCAAAAAACAGAAACTAGGATTTAGGAAGGAAAGGACTTGCTTCGAGGGTAGAAAGCTCCTTGAAAGAACACAGTGATGGTAAAAAGGGGATAGTGCAAGACCAAGGTGTTTCCTTTATCACTGTCCCCTAACACTGAGAACAATGGCAGGGCAAAAGAAGACCTAAGGACCAGTGTGTTAAGGGAGGACAGGGGAACAGTATCAGGAGGATCCTTCCCATTTTAGATTAGCCTCCTACCTATTTCCTGTGCCCTCACAATGATGAGAGGACCCTCACTTTTCCCTCCCCCCCCAGCTGGTTCTGAGCCTGGTGCAAATAGTGACGTCATACACGCACCCCATCTTCTTATTGTGGCAAGTGTTCAGACTCCAACAAACTTCTGAGCTTAAGTGCTACATTTTACTGAATGTGAATAGAAGAAGCTATAGAAATGGAATAGCGTAAACTCAAAGAAGAAGCAGTATGGTAAAGCCATTGAAAATTCTCTTTCACAGTGAGAACTTGTAGAAAGAAATTGAGGATAAATATTATGTAGGCAATGTCAAGGTTTTTCTAACCTCGTTTTCTGTTGAGCGGGTCCAAAGGTCTTTTGGTTTTAAAGGAAATATTGGACGCAGAAGGCACTCTTAGACAGCCCACATCGGTGAACACTACTCTTTACCCTGGACACACCTCAGCAGGCACTGAGCTGATGACCCCCAACTTCTGTCACCTTGAGAAGTCAAGGCTCCTCAGAAGTCTGAAAGCTTCCCTAGGTCTTTCAAAACATCTTTAAAGCAATTTTATTACATGGTTTATAACTACAGACACAGGAGAAAACAATGCTAGAGAGAACAGTTTTTTGAAGAAGATTCTAGCAGTTGCATCCAAGCCTTACCTAAATAAGAAGCAAGAGGTTCGTTCATTTTGGTGGGCTCAGTTTGAAAGGTGGTGTTCTGAGGGATGACAATCTGGTTAGCCTTCTGCATGACTACCGTTCCATTCCAGTCATAGGCTCCCACTGCTCCAAGCATGACCCAGTCCTAATGTGTGAGTCCAGAAAACAGCAAAATGGCATTAGCAAACCCTTATGTTGCATTAGCAGTGTGATAGGAATGGTTCGAAGCGCTTTATTTAAATTCATTCATATAGTCCTCAAAATAACTTCCTTTACAAGAACCCAACATTACAATCCCTATTTTAAGCCCTGTGGTGGTGGGCCACACCTTTTATCCTAGCATCCTGGAGACAGAAGCAGGTGGGTCTACAGAGGGAGTCCCAGGACAGCCAGGGCTACACAGAGAAACCTTGTCTTGAAAAAAAAAAAAAAAAAGAGCAAGCAAACAAGCAATCAAACAAACAAATGAAAATCCCAACATTAACCAAAAAGGAAGCTGAGGGCCACTATGTAACTTCCACATTGAAATGTTGATAGTCCTTTATAATGACTGTGATGTCTTCTTTTCTTGCCTTTCTTTCTATGTTATTCTGGACACACACATGTGCACACACACAAAATCACATCTTAGTCTTCTAAGGAATGTTAGCATGACCAATGACTAATAAATACCTTAACACTGAGAAAAAGATTCCCATTTTACATCAATGTCTTATGTATTTCATTTCATTAGATGCACAGTTACATTCAGCACAGCTCAGACTGTATGGATCATAACAATTAAGTTCATAAGATTTAATTGATAAAATATAGGAGCCGTGGGAAGTATTCTCCTAATAAGAAGTCCAGAGATGCCATTTTCTTCTCAGTCTGCAGAGCTGGCCTCACCGTAAACTTCAGAGCAATCTTACTCCGTCGATGGCTGGGCATGGCCTGGAGGGAGCCAAGTGTGCAGGAAAGGTGTGCCTTCCCTGGACATGATCCACATACCTGTGAATAGTGAGCACTGAAGCCAGTCTGAGACATCTCCATCTCGAATGAAGCTGCTGACTGGTCAGCTGTAGCTGTAATGTAGGAAAGATAACACACACAATAAGTGACTAGCAATGTCATTTAGGCTGCGATTGATCTGCTGAACACAGAACTGCTGGAATCTGGGGACCTGCCAAGCTGAACTATGGAAGGTTTAGGGCACTATCAGCCGTATACTTCTCAACCAAAACTCCTGGGCAGGGCTCAGTAGAAGACAGAGGTTAGTGGAAGGATCTCCTCTCCCATTCTTACACATTGGCTTCCCACCCTTGCTGAGGGGATGTTGATCTGCTTGCTTTCCGTGAGTTTATATGGTCTTAAAAATAAGTTAAAAATAACATATAATTTTAACCAAGTCAGCCTGACTATCTTTTCTACACTGTAGTTGCCTGTGATTCCTTGGTGCATTGGAAAGTTGAATTACTGCAGTAGGAGCCAATTGGTCAACTATCTTGTCTACTGGATCTAGGAGCCCTATCAGAGCTAATTTGATACTCTATGAGGCTGAAAAATACTTCACCCAACTATATAAAAAGATTCCCGACTCATTAGTCCCATCTCCCTTTGAGGCCATGCATCCTCTCTATGAGACACTGTCTGAGAGAGCTGAAGGCTGTGAGGACCATTCATGTAGCTCCCATCTGGGTCCCACCCAAGTCTCTATTTTTAAAGAAACTTTCTATCTTAAAAACGCCACGTTTAAAGCTCATTGCTAAAGTCCAGACAGATTAGAGCATTGTATGGAATTGTGCTCTTCTCAAAATATTTACAGGCCAGAAGCCACAGTTTCCTGGGGGACCTATGGGGATGTTGACCTACCCACTTCCAGGAAGTTACTGGTTTACTTGGTCTTAAAAATAAGCTAAAAATAACATAAAATTTTGGTCACGTCAGCCAGACTGCCAATGGATTCAAGAGAATCTTTAAATTTGTGAACTCAAATATGTTTATTTATTTACTGGAATAAAGCCATAAAAATGCATCTGTGATTGAATTTTTATAGGGCTAGATTAAATGTGGCAACCAATCAAGAACCTGACTGTATCATTTAAATCCCTCATACTGATTGCCTTTTAAATGACCAAGATGCATTTTAGCTTAAATTAAAATGTGTTTTTGATACATAACAATTTAAGCTACTTCCATGCTTACTTGGCCAGACTGATAGCAAGAACGTATGAGTAGACACCAGACTCCCCCAGCCTCTGAAAACAGAGGAAGCTGTTGCCTGTCTTTCTGCATACTGCATTAGCATCATGAAAATAGCCTGGCCATAATCCCACTGGCCAAATTTCTCACTTTCAGCCTGTTCCTGGCTGGCTCATGGGGGAGTAAACCAACTGCTCTGACCCTTGCCTGCTTCCGGTTAGGAAGGTGAGCATTTCCCTGAAGCTGATAAGAAAGGGAGATTCATACCTTTCCCTGATCTAGTTAGTCAACTCCTGTGCATGCTTGACTCGCTAGGTGGCTTGCTCTTGGCAAACCAGACTTCCATAATTGTTGCTATTTGCCATCTGGAATACGTATTGACAGGAAATGAAGATTTCCTAAACAACAGGGGAGAAAGCCTTTTGTGCTCTCGTTATGAAAATACTGGGAGGGAATACACTGGAAGCCCTGCTGTGTGACGTCAGCACCAAAGCAGCTGAAGCAAGAGGGGCAGCAGGGCCAGTGAAACTTCACCTTGAACACAAAAACAGAAACAGAAATCAGACCCAGAAACAAAAGAGACAGCTCACATGACTTTAGCCTGCGTTAAGATGTTGAAAGATATTCTAATCTTTGGAGAGTTTTATAAAATGATTTCATATTAAATATAGAGATTTCTGGATCCGTTTGGACATTCTAGCAAGGAACTTCAACTGTGATTTGGTTAGGTTATAATGAATCTTAAAATGCCATTTCAGACAAAATGAACCACATCCCTTACAATGTAGGTCACATTCAGCCAACTCTAGGTTATATTTGCCTACTGACCTAGAGAATATTTAGAAATGGCACTTCCTGTGTTTAACTGACTAGTATAATAGTAACTTTAAAAAAAAACAACTCTTACAAGTAGATTATACAAGTTATATTAAAAATCCATATGTGTACACATATACATATATACACATAATAACATTAATAAAAAAGAGGCCATGAATTTGAAGGAGAGTGAAGAGGGTTTTGATGGGGCTTTTGAAAGAGGAAGGGAAAGGGAGGAGTGTTGTAGTTATATGATTGTCTCAAAAACAAACAAAAAACCAAGCCCTTTAAGCCCTTTCCTGATTTTTTTCTTGGTCTGTGTTATTAAAAGAGAAAAGTGCACAGTAATTTAGAAGACCATCCATATTAAATCTAGGCAAGCATGGCCTCTGCTATCGATAAATAACATCTTGTCTCGGTGGCTATTGAAAGACCAAGGCCGTGTAACAGTGACTTGGACTTAGAACACAGAACAGCCGAGCCATTCAGAAATGGCTAGGAGTATAGACTGGTAAAGGCTCAAGGGTTCTGTCTCTAAAGGCATTGGAGAGAAAGGGAGCCAGAGAAATCCTTCTGCCTGGAACACCAGTCCCTGTCATCCTCAGAGTAAAACAAGCTCCTGAGCACTCACTGACTGTGACTCAGATTGAAAGCAATCAGGTGAGTAAAGCCATTTCACCGTCATTGAAAGAGGACCTTATGAGAGCAGGAAGAGGTGAGGGCAGCAGAGTGCACTGGAAATAACAGCACTATTGTGAGTCCTACTGAAATTGGCTTTGTTTTTACGTGCGTGAATATGTGTGTCCTGAGTTGCGAAGCAAAACTCTTGCTACCAGGAGCTACTCAAGAAATATTGCAAACAGTTGCTTTACATCATTTTCTTGAACTGGAGATATAGGGAAGTTGTAGAGCAGTGGTCCAGCATATGTAAGGGCCTGGGCTTAGTCCTCAGCACTCAGCACACACACACACACACACACACACACACACATTTTTCTTGTTTACTGGATAGTCACTTGAAATTGTCTACCCTTTTTAAAGTCATGCCTCATCTTCATATTCTCTTTGTTTGTTATTAACAGGTTCTGTAAGGGATCACAGGATAGAGCTTTTGACAAGCGACATTTTTTACAAGCGACACATTCATAGTGCCCCCTTGGAGACTGTCAGTGGAACTGGCATGCCCCAGAAGGGCAAAAGAATTCTCTGTGGTTTCTGTGGAGACTGAGTTCTGAGTCTGAATTTCCAGACCTTGAAAAATCTAAAAAAGACTTTACTAGTCAAAGGACATTAGCTCCAAAGCAGTTTGTTACCAGACACCTCCCACTGAAGGGACTAGCATTGTTCAACAGCTTCAATAGACAGTCACCGCTAAAAAAGTCAAAGAAAAATCCTCAAAGAGGTGGCCTGGATAGACAACCATAGCAAATGAAGTTTTGCTACCAAAGGACTTGAGGCAAAACTCCATGGGGATCTTTAAAAATGTGTATAGACAAATTACAGAGGAAATGAACATAGAAATGATTTTATCAGAACACTCTCCTAGCAGGAAAGACAGTTGAAAGACAAAAGTTGAGTCACTGGATCTCTGTTCTAAACTTGTGTCACAGAAAAGGAATAAAGCGTGCTCATGCTGGGGCGTTTAGGTTCTTGCTATGGTCATCAGCTCTTCCACGCATCATTGCAGTCTAACAAAGGCTGTGTCTAGCCATCATGGTTGTCTGTAAAGTAGTTCCATGACAGATTCCTATGACAGAGACTTGCTCACTGATGGCTACTGCACACGGTGAAAATAGGTTAGTAATGTGTTGAGAAGAATACCCCAAACCCATAACATTAAGATTGAATTTTAGAAGGGACATTCCAGATCAGGAGAGACAGTCATACCTTCCAAGGCAAATATCCTTTCTCCCAGAGCTTTGACAATGGTGACCAGGGCCAACTCATCTGAGACATTGAAGAAGTGCTTTTCAGTGGGCTCGCTTGCGATAGATTTTATTTCTTCCACAAATTTCTCAGTGCTTAAGTTCCCTCGGTTATAGTGGCCAAGGATCTAGGGCACAACAAAAATGGCAAGAACATATTTTAACTCCAATATGTTAAAAAGTATATTCCGTAAACAAGAGCATTCAGGATATCTTGTGCTGGGATAATGTTATGTACTTATGGGAATCTTTATGGAAGAGAAGCTGAGTACATGGTTTTGCTCATATTGATTCATGTAAATATTTATGTTATTTTTCATTATGTGTGTGTGCATGTGCGTGTGTCAGTGGGTGTGTATGTGTGTGCACCTGAGTACAGATTCCCTTGGAGGTTGAGGGATGAAGTCATTCTAGAGCTGGAGTTCCTGGCAGTTGTAAGCTGCCTAATGCGAGTGTTGAGGAACATACTTGAGTTCTCTACAAAAGTGGTACCTGATATCAACCACCGAACATTCCCCCACCCATATATACTGATTCTAAGAACCATGGGTGAGGCAGGAAAACAGTCTTTCTTTTTCTGCACTCCTGTGTTTCTGTGTAACAGTTATAGTTTTAAAATCTATCTGACCATTCAAAAGACATGTTAACTTTCTATATAACTGTGATACAATTTCAGCTACTGACACGCCATCTTCTGGCAGAGCAACCAACAAGGGAGTTATGGAAGTGTTTTATATGTTTGCACACACACACACATACACACATATATATACATACATGCATATATATATTATACATGTATACGTACACATGTGCATGCCTGCATTTTTTCTTAGAGACCTGTGAAAGTTCTGCATACATATTCCGGCATGAAGCATTTTACACTTCTTTCATTTTTCTATAAGTTTTAAATTTTCATGAAGTCATACTAATCATGTTTCTTCTTTAAGGTATGTACAATTTTACCTGGTTAGTATTGGTGTGAAAATGTTTATGTTTATGAAAATATGGAAATCTTAAACTAAAAATTCCTGATACAACGACTTGACCTAATTTATTATTTTAAAATATAGCAATGCGGGAATAGGAAAAAGGTCCAAATACTATATTATCTTTTAAATCTGTTTATAATATTGTATATTTCCATCTTTGATTAGCCCACATATATTTAAAGACTTTTTCTTTTATAATAAAAATGTTACTCTTGTAACAAAGCATGTTTAATTTTTATTTTATTACAAGTGGCACTTGAAGGTTACTAGTTCTTGCTTCTAAATATTCATGTATCCTTTATTATACTATCCCAAATTGAGAACAACTTATATATCTGTAAATAATGATGCATAAAATGAGATCTAAGACGGTAGGCTACAAAATGACATTTTGGTTAAGGTATATAGGTAAATACCTTAAAAATGAGAACTCAAGTTACTATTTACATAGTTCTTCTTATGTCCTATGACATAATTATTGTTTCACAGGATACATGGTGGTTGAGAGCAACAACTTAATCACCCTGATGCACACTATTAATGTAAGAATTTGAGTTGTATCTGTTCCAATCAGCAGGCTCATGGAGGCTTCATGTGATGAGCTTGCCCCTTTCCTGGGGGAGCTTCAGTGACCATCACTAAGGAAATGTCACATTTCCACACTGCGGGACATCAAGCCCACTCGCTTCTCTTCACTCTCAAGACCCCAGCAATCCAGTCCATCCTAGCTCCTTCCCATATTAAATGCACTTATAATAAATGACATATGAACATCTGAGAAGGAGCCCCTTTGGGGAATCATGTGTTTAAGGAAACCTGGAGCTGGTAAACAAGGAAACCTGCATACCACTTAGGCTCTGTTTGACTCCTGTTTTTAAGCTCACTCTATGATACCCAGCCTTTGGGTAAAATGGTCTAGGCTGGAACTTCACAAATTATTTCAGAAAACAAAACCTAAATTCCTGGATATTGTGATGAAAAGTCAGGGCCAAACTTTCTAAGTGTTTAGCCTCAGAGCAGAGACCACCGGGACTGTCTTGCAGGCCAGCTGTGTGATGGAGGAGAAAAATCAATGGAGAAGGCAGCAGAGAGATGTCAGACAGAGAAGCAAAACCGAGGTCATGCTTGCAGAGCATTGAACAAAGACCCTGTCTCGTTTAAGAAAAAGCTGTCAGGATGCCTTTCTTAGAGCTGGATATCTCACTGAATCTGGTCGCAGGAGACAATCTACAAGCTCCAGAAGAGCCACACCCCTGAGTTTCCTGCCCAACATGATGAGGCTACTTTTTTCTTTTTTCATTTTGATAACCTGCGTGTTTCTCTTAGATTCATTCAAATTCTGAATTACGTGGATTCCTCTGAGTCCCCCACTGATTTACTTCACTTATTCTACAGATCTTGTGACATCCTGGGACGATAAATCATCCTTGCTCCTCTTTGATTGTTACTGAGCATGTTCTAGATTAACTATTAGATCTACATATTAACTCCCATTGTATTTAAAATTGATAAAATTCAAAATATTCGCAAAACAAACATAACAGCTGAGAATTTTAGGGTGTGTGTGGTTGAAGCTGCTAGTTGGGAAGTGAATGTTATCAGACATTTAGGGGTAACTGTGACAGGAGGAAGATAAGCAGATTTAACTAAGTAGGAAAAATACCCACAGGACAGATTTAAAGAGCAAGAATAAAGCAGAAAAGTACAATACACGAGAATATACTCAGAGCTGCAGAGTTTCTGGGATTCCTATACAGGCTTAAACCACCCAACTAATATCACAGATGAAAACAATAACAGAAACCTATTGGCATTTTTTATCCAAGGGTTTGGTAGCTTGTAAAATGTTTTCTATAAGAAAAAACAAGAAGTTAAATAATACACCTAATTTTAAAAATACATCTCAAATAGGTTGAACATAAGCGTTTGAATTCTGGTAACATTTACCTGAAAGATGTAGTCAGAACTGAAATTTCCTTGAAGCAGATGTGTCAAAGTAAAATATGTACTGTATTTATGTGCAACATCATGTCTTCTATTTGAAAATATAAATATATTTATTGATGTCTCATTTATGTTTGATCACAATAAGTAGTTCACACTTCTCAACCATTACAAACTAGGAGTAGGATATGACTATCTAATACGACCTGATGGACCAGTCTAATATTCTCCATTGACAGAAATAAAGGACTGAAAGTCAACTCATGGCTTCTCAAAACATGAAATTTTAATAAGAAATATTTGAAGTTTTAAAACATGGAACTTAAATTACCAATATTTAATCCTCTTGGGGACCTGTTTCCTGTCAAAACACATTTCTGTATTGTTCAGGATCAAAGAGTAGGGAAAAGAAAAAATAGAAGAAACAGTCCAGACAATGACTGAGACAGGGGGACAGTCCAGACAATAATTAAGATAGAAGAGTAGTTCACACAATAATTGAGACAGGGTTTTTATTCGTGTGAATGTGTGCAGCATGAGTGGATCCTATGAAATTCCTGAAGTCTGTCTGTGTTATTGCTCAAATGAGAAAAAGTAATACAAGTGTCTTGTTTTCTAGTTTGGTCTCAAATAATACCTTTTAAAATAAACACAAAGTAGGAAAAGTAACAAATAATTATGGTTAAGTGTCATTTTCTTGTTTTTTTACTTATATAGAGTTCAGGAGCAGTTTGATAATAACACACTGATGAAATAGAAAGAACAAGAATATATGGTTCTTCATGAAGATGAATGGAATGTTGAAATCTCCTTTGATGCTGAGATGAGAGAGACAAATAGGACTCCCAGTTAAAAAAAAAAAAAACTTTTTAAAACAAGGAAAAATTAACTATGTGGTCAGACATGCTACAAACCACAGAGTTCACTTAAAGTGGTGTGCTGTCTTTGTCTTTCCAGTAAAACTTCTCTTACTGCTGGTTGTGTGTGTGTGTGTGTGTGTGTTTGCATGTGTTGCACTGAGTATAAAGTGTTTCCACAAGGGAGACAAGCAATCTACGGCTGAACTACATCCTCAGCACCAATACTGTTAATTCTGATGATGGCTGATACTGTTTGTGGCCTGCATCCACAGTACATACAATGCCAACTGGTCCTCAGGGGGAAGCAAAAAAAAAAAAAAAAAAAAAAAAAACTGAGATCATCTCTGATACTCAGAAGTCTGGAATCAGTGAGCAAGCTCTGGCTTTCTACACTGACAAAAGGGACCGGCCGTAGGCTTAATGTCATTCGTTATTTAGATATTTTCCTGAGTGACCATTTGAAACTATTCTCAACCATGAAATCAAAATGCTTACATTTTCGCAGCAGAAGGGGTAATAAAGAGTTTGAGAATAATTAGCAAATGGAAAGTTATAAAAATAACAACAGAGAATGAGAGAAACAACTAGATGTTTAGTGGAGTTGTTTACATCTTATACCTCAAATAAATTAAGAAAATGTTTCAGTCAAGTATTATCACTTTATAACCAAGCCATCTTGTTTATAAAATGTGCGCCTTGGCCCTGGGGAGCCGTGCATCACATCCTTGGCCTTGGGGAGCCTCGCATCATATCCTGGAACGTTTTTCTATGCATAAACCCCATCTTCCACTTCTTACATCATCCATGCCTTTGAAAGAAAGGCAGATTCGTTGACTGGATGTTGAAAACTAAAGCAGCTAATATTTGATTACCGTTTGTGAAGAGTTCAGGGGTGGGGAATCTTTTCTCCTGAGTTAAAAACAAATCAATTGAATCAATTTTAGTGAATGAAAGAACAATTGATTCCGGAGAAGAGAGGAGCCTCCCCCTAGACAGCAGGCAGGACTATGGGGTGGAAGCTGGAAGGAAGGGCCAGATGTTGTCCCTGGGGCGATTCCCTGCAGGGTTCTGAGCAAAGAGGAAACCTTTTATCTCTAAAGGCTAGGTCCTTATTAGCTCACTGTGGTAGCTTCCTTGGAAGGATCAGAGAGAAAGACAATTTTTATTGTGTGCCTCACTGGCCACTGTCGTCAATGATTCTTCGTGTGTTGAAAGAGACAGACTGACAGAAATAACAATCTTTTGACAAAAGATTACCCTGAAGTTCAGTGTATTAGAACGTATTCACTTGTCCCAGAGATGATATACAGGGAAAAAAGCCTGTACAAAAGTGTTTCCGGCCCTGAAACACAGTGCCCTCTGTTCTTCCCCACACCCAACCTTCCATTCCCTTGTGTTTTGTACACCTGGAAAATGGGACAGCTTGGGCAGCAGAAGCAGACAGATAAATAGGGCTTCGGAAGTATAATGATTGGCTTGCTAGTAGGTGCATATAGAAGGCATCTTCTGATTCTGGCTTCTCAAACCTCAGGAAGAATTCTTAACTGAGAAGCAATCTTTCTTGCCCAGTATATGATGTCTGTCTCATGACAGACACGGAGAGTTTACACACCCTTTGCTGGGGAGGTACTTACAGCTATGGAAAATCGCTGAATGTTCTCATCCTCGCAGTCCTGGATGACCTGCTTCAGTCGGTAGTTGTCATGGGATTCTCCATCGGTCACTATGACCATGACCTTTTTAACGCCCCTCCTGGCACCCCGAGCTTCAGTGAATGCCTCTTTCCTGAAAGGAACACAGACCAAAGGGAGGCTGATCAAACTCAGCCCAGAGTCGGACAACATAAAAAGCCCTACAAAAAAATACATCAGCTCTGCGTAGTCTGGCACTTCCCTCTGAGATGACTGTGGACTCCGCTGTCAGAGGCAAGCAACACCATGACCTCACTTGCAGGGAATCTCACGTGATGGGGATTCACTGTATTAGCACTTGCCACATATGCCCATATGAAGCACAGGTGCATCCCTTCTTTGGATGCTGCGTTATAGGGATGTCGTGACTGATGACGGTGTGGGAAAGAATACTCGTGTCTATGGTCAGAAAGTGAAGCTTGGATGGTGGAGACCACAGAAAAAGGAACAAAGTTTTCCTCTTCTTCGCCTATCTTCAGTAAGAGCCAGGTTGCATCAGGCCAGCATAGCTCAACTTACATGATTTCTCCTAGTGAGCTTCCATCAATAGACCCCCGACTTGGTCCCACACTAAATCCTTACTTGTCCTTATATTAAAAGCTGAGCCAAATGTCACTCAACTGCAACAACCCACTGCAATGGTCCCCATCTCAAAGAACTGCATGAGTAACTGTTCTTTAGCGTGTACTTGTGACACAGATTTTCTGATTTCTTTAAATGCTTAAGCAAAGGTGAAGACAGATATTAAAGGCTAAGTTTTAAGAAGTTTAGACATGAATATTCTATGAGATTTAGTCCATTTTGCAATTCTAATTCCTTCGAGGATCGCCCAGCACTTCTGATTCTCTGGAAGACCAAGGTCCTACTGAATTTAATGAAGATCGGCAGAAGGAGATGGTTAGAAGTCATTTTCTTAGAGAAATTCTGGATGCTCTGAAACCAGAGCCCTTTATATAACAGGAGAGCAGCCAGTCACAGACCTGCCAAGTCCACCCTTCTCATCTCAAGGCTGTTCCTTAAAGAGGTAGCTAAAGCACCAACATCTGACGTCCTTTCTGAGAAGGAAGCAGCAGCTTCCTCCCCACTGGCCTTTAACATTTTACGTATCTCAGGAAAGCCACTTACTTTGAGATAGGACAATTCAGGATTTCTGAGTAATTAAATAATTTAAACCTAGTTACAGGGATGAAAAAGAAGGGAGCATCCACAATGATTATGAACTGAAGTGAATGAATTCACTGAAAATGAAGATAACAGATGCCAAAACATTCAAAACATTTTTTGTAACTGGCTTCCCTTAAAAGGCATAAAACGCAATCAAAACTGTGCTTACGCATGCAAAATTAATGTGTGAGAAGAAAAGCCCTGCACTATCATTACAGTCTCTTTGTGTAACTCCAAACTGAATAGATTGTCTGCAGATAGACCATGAGAGAAGTGTGGGCAACCCCATATAAGGCCATGGTATTTCAAGTAGCATTTATACAGGAGTGGAACGCAGCTACGATGATTCTTCCATTAGTTACTAAGATAAATATTCATTCTTAAGCTCTTGCCTTTAGAAAATGCACAACTCTTTACAGGCTCAGAGCTTTCAAAGCAAGCTTTGACGTCTTTGAACGTGCATTCACGTTCAGTCAGCTACTGAAGGCACTTTCAGAATACCTACACATGTGCACGCCTTGTGCTGGCAGATACACATGTCTATAAGGAGATAAATGCCCATTTACCACAGCTGTTTGTGGATGCTTGTGTGTGTGTGCACGCATGTGTGTGTGTGTTCCCATAAAATTGGAACCATGTGCTTTTGTGGCATTTATGAATGCCGTTAGCTTCCTTAGGGAATTGGCTCTCACAGGCAGGTAGAGTGTGACCATAGTAAATTCCCTTTGCAAAATCAGCTAGGAGTCCAGAGGTGGAAACTACCAAACAGAATTATTCTTAAGATGAATCAGAACACATAGGAAGCTTCTTGTGGACTAGGTTTTGCTTGGGAGTTTGCTAGGCTTGATAAGAAGGACAGAAGGAAGAGCTGTAACTAAGAACTGAATGAGACTGGAGAAAATACAGGAAATACAGTGTTCTGCATTTGTAAAAGATAAAAGTTTGAAGGTTCTTATAAAACAGATTTTTTAATCACAGAGCCATGAGCAGGAGGCACGCAGGGCACCACAGATGATGGAGACATCTCAATTTTTAAAATGGCTGTGATGAGATTATTTTTATAAGGCAACAATTAATTTGGCTTCTTAAAAATTCTTCTATGAGGACTTGGTCAATAGCCCAGTCACTAAAGTTCTGACCTTTTAAATACGAGGACCAAGTTCGGTCTTCAGAACCCATGTAATAAGAAAGCTAAGCTGTTTAGTGGCAAGCACTTATCAATCCCAACACTAAAGAGCAGAGGCAAGATCCCTGCTGCTCCCTGGCCAGTCAACCTTGTCTCCTTGCTGCATTGTATACCATGGAAAAGGTCCTGTCTCACAAAAGTTCAACAGCCTGTAACGTATGACTCCTGAAGTTGACCTCTGCCCTCAATTGCACAGGCACAAGTGTGTTCGTGTGTGCTCATGTGTGCACATGCACACACATACACACACACATACACACAGATTGCACTGGTGTAACAGATTCTTATGGTCTCCTTTCAAAAAGAGGTGTACTTGCGTTGTAACTGGGGTGCATTCATCAGAGTTGCAGAAGAGCTGGGCCTGTCTCTCCCCTAGTGTTGTCTGGTGTGTGGGGTTTGAGAGGGGTACAGCTTTAGTCAATAGGAAAAGAGAATAGAAATTTTGTGGGAGTGGTAGAAGTTTTAAATTGCCGGGGACAAAATTGGGATCTTGGGGGTGGGGTGGGTTGGGGATAAGGGGGGACAGGGAGAGAAAAGTAAGAAGGGGAGGATTGGGGGAACTTGGGGAAACAGGAAGATTGGGATAAAGGAAGGTTGGATAGGGGAGCAGGGAAGCACATATCTTAGTTAAAAGAGCCACCTTAGTGTTGGCAAGAGACTTGAACCTTGAGTGGCTCCCAGGAGCCCAAGGCGATGTCCCCAGTTAATCCCTTGGGAAGCTGAGGATAGGGAACCTGAACTGACCCTATCCTATAGCAATACTGACGAATATCTTTCATATCACCATAGAACCTTCATCTGGTGATGGATGGAGATAGAGACAGAGACCCACACTGGAGCACTGGACTGAGCTCCCAAGGTCCCAATGAGAAGCAGATGGAGGGAGAACATGAGCAAGGATGTCAGGACCACGGGGGGTGCACCCACCCACTGAGACAGTGGGGCTGATCTATTGGGAGCTCACCAAAGCCAGCTGGACTGTGACTGAAACAGCATGGGATAAAACCGGACTCTCTGATCATGGCGAACAATGAGGACTGATGAGAAGCCAAGGTCAATGGCAAGGGGTTTTGATCCTACTTCATGTTCTGGCTTGATGGGAGCCTAGCCAGTTTGGATGTTCACCTTCCTAGACATGGATGGAGGGGGGAGGACCTTGGACTTTCCACAGGACAGGGAACCATGACTGCTCTTTGGATAGGAGAGGGAGGGGGAGAGGAGTGGGGGGAGGGGGAGAAGAGAGGGGAGAGGGGGAGAAGAGTGGGGGGAGGGGGAGGGAAAAGGGAGGCTGGGAGGAGGCGGAAACTTTTTTTTTCTTATTCTCAATTAAAAAAAAAAAACTGAGTAGCTTGGTCCAAATCACCATACTGGCCAGGTTACACCAGCATTTCCATTCTGCAGAATAGTACAGTAAAACTATTTCATTTTTGCTAGTCTCTTGACTTTGTAATTGCCCTTATTTCCTCACACACACACACACTAGTTGTATGAAAATTACTAAAATCCTTTATCAAGAGCTAGAGACACAAGAACATACATAAGCAGAGTAGACATAGGCTATATTTTAATACAATCATCGATGTGCCCAGAAGTTAAAAATAAAAATCAAATGGCTACAGGAATGTTGTCAGGCCTTGCTGGCTGGTCAGAGGTTACAGTCTATCATGACCTGGCAGGTTTTTCCAAAGCTCGATGACATGGAACTCCGTCACCACCAGGGAGACTTCCTGTTCTCTACCTGCCCTTATATGGAGAGTGTCCCGGGGCCTGGAAGACTGACATTGTTTGAAAGATGTCCCTAGGCTGGATGCCTGATTCATCTCTAGGGTGACCCTTTGCAGAGATTCCTGCTAGAAGCCCCCCCTGCTGTACATATGGTAACTTAGACTTGCACTAGGAACTCTGCTATAGGACCTGCCGCCACATACAAAGCCTTCTGATAAGAGTATGTCTCTTAATGCAAATTAGGGTTTGTCCCCAGGCTCCCCAATCTTATATATTTCCAATATTCTGGAATAAAGTTGAACTAATTCACTGAAGTCTCTTCCGGAGGACTGTCTCTGTCATGTCCACGTGCCATGCAAGGATCTCTGTCATCTCTTCTGTCCCTTTGTCTTCGCCAACTGATGGCCAACTGACCGCAAAGACAAAGGGGAACCCCACACAAGAATGAAAATTAAGCATCAGTTGATAACATGATGCAATCAACTATTAAGTTTTCGATTGCTTCACCGTCAGTTAGACCCTTGAAATGAAAGAAAAAGATAAGGAGGGCCATGAGAGTATATTGCCATAGAACTTGATTGTCTAATAGCAAATCTTTTTATTGTAATTTGAAAAAACTGTGGCATTGCATATTGTCCAGGCAAACACTGAGTTACATTCAGAAAGCAAAAATAGCTAGCAGTGGTGCTGCATGTTCTTTTGCGCTTTTTTATTTTTACTTCTTTGTTTTCTTATGGTGATTATAAAGTCATCATTTCTCTATTCCCTTTCCTCCACTCAAGCCCTCTCATATAACCCCTTTCTTGCTGTCTTTCAAATTTATGACCTCTGTTTTCATTAATTAATGAAATTAATGTCAGAAATGAATGTCAGAAGCTATGACCATAAAGTCTCATCATCAAGATTTCTACGCCATACCTGGCTGTGTCAATCCCAAGGGCTGTCATCGTTTGGAGGCCACCTCTCCGGCCTATTTTGTTTGCTGCAACAAGTACCTCTTCTGTCGATGAGTACTTATTGAGGTTGAACTCGTGGGTTACGCTTTCTCCATACTGCACAATTCCAACCTGAAATACCAAGCCACGGTTGAGTCATGTGTCCAGCAAATACCCTGTTTATTTTTCCTGAGTTTAAATATATATAGGGCCAATAGAGTACCTGTGAGCTTATCAGCTGAGTGTAAGAATTGATCACTACCTGAAGTCTTCTACCTTGGTCGCAATAATCATGGATGCTTTGTGACTATGAACAGTCCAAAGAAGAACCGTAAAATTGCTGTATTTTCTATCTAATCAAAATTTTTACAGAACGATTCCAGTAGGCCTCCACAGCACACGCTGCTATATTTAACATTCTTTTTGTCTTATATTCTTATATAACTGTTTCACATTATAGCAACAAATTGTCATCTTTAGTAAATGAGGAAACAAAAACAGAATCTTTTTTAATGGAAACAGAGTCTTAAAAACTAATTTTCTGGCTGGGGATATAACTCAGTGGTAAAGGACTTGTTTCTCATGCATGAAGCTGTGGGTTCAATCTTCAGCAGGAAAGGAAAGGCAAACAAACAAACAAACAAAACCAAACTCGAGCTTTACAATGAAGGGATAGAAAGGAGTCTAGTCTCCGAAATGGTCAAAATTGTGCCCCTTCTTTTGTTCCCCCTTTTTAGTTAACATGAGCTGCTAACGTCTAGTAATCAAAAGGAGACACTCATGCTACACTAGAGTAAATAGGCAAACAAATAAACTAATAATAGTTTAAAAAAAGAAATAGAAACAGTTATCCCTTATTTAGTTGGTCATAAGGATAAAATGAAGGAACTGGAGAATCTATAACTGTGAGATGAGGCATACATTATAAGCCATGTGAACATGAACTCTGAATAGTTTATGTATAGGATAACCTTGTCCTCTATGAAAGCATTTTTTACCCCATTTCTTTACTATACATTCCAAGACTATGTGTTGTTCAATTGAATTTTTCTTCCTTATAAGAATAAAGGGTAGGATGTAGCCAACTAGTTATACAAAATACTGAAAACAAATGAGGACAAACGCATGACTCCAATTCAGGTTATTTCCTTAACTGTACTTAAATAGTTTTATTATCTTCTTTAGACTTAAACTTATTGTCCATATGGCAATACAGATTTAGATTATCAATCCTGATGAATATTGACCTCAGAAAGATAAACCCATAAATATTTTGATTTTTGCCATTATAAAGGTGCAATATAGATTTAAATGAAATGTATATTTTATGAAAACTTTTGTTACTAAGATATTCATTATACTTAATCCTAAGTACCAAGCTTCTTAAAGACTTCTATGGAGATCAATCATTCATGAATTTAAGATATCTCATGGAGCTTGTGTCATTTTTATTTTAATGTTTTTAGTTAATTAAACAGGAATCTAAAAACTTGAAATTTTTACTCTCCCTCCTGCCACTATTTTAACAGTATTGAATATCCTCGTCTCTCATGCCTTTGACCTCCAGAGCTTTGAGACTCTTTCCCTCAGACTCATGGATGACATCTTTGCTCAAGGACTTCCTGTCTTGGATTCTATCACCTGCAAGGGCAAGGGTCTCAATTCTGAGTGTTCTCCTCTCCGGCCATTGACATCACATCATTTGTCTATTCCACCTAAACTATCAGTCACTAGACCATATCAGAACCTCTTGACTGGCAATACCTTTAGTAACCTAATATTTAAGACTAGATTTCAAGGTACAATGACTGTAATCATCTACTTGCAAAAATCTAGCTCATTTAATCTCTTTTCTCCTTCACCAAGTCACCTGGCTAACTTCCAACTCTAGCTAAATCCAGCTATCTCCGTGTGTGATTCTGCAGTGCTGACTGTTTCTACTCGAAATTCACTCCGCTTGTAGATTGGCCTCCCACTAAAGTTATATCTATGAATCTCAAACGGGGCCTTGAATTGGAGCCCCACCTAACAGTCACACAACTTGCTACTAATGGATGTACTTTGTTCCCACTGGTTAATTTCAATCAGATTTTTGTTAAGAGCTGTTAATGCTCACAGGAGAAAGTATTTATCTCAACTGGCTTGAGAAGAACTCGCACGAAAGGGACAGAAGTCATAGCAACCATTCAAGGCTGCTGATGCCCAAGAAGTGTCAGGGCTCTGTTTTCACTCCATGCCTCACATGGCTCAAAGAATCGGCTCTGAAGGTTGGATCGTCTAAACCAATTATCTTCACCCTACGTACTAAAATTCAAAATCTTCATGATGTTTTTTGAGTGAAAATGTCTCTTGTGGAGTAAAATGCTTGAATACTTAGTCCCCAGTTGGAGGCACTGTTTGGGGGAGATTTAGGAGCTAAGGCCTTGCTGGAGACATTATCCCTGGGGTGGGCTTTGAGAGCTGATGACTCACACATTTCTGTGCTTCACACCTGCGGTTCAACTTCTGCTCCAGTTGCCACACCTGCTGCTTGCTGTCATGCTTGGGCTTACTCCTTAGAACCATAAACCAAATGACTGCTTCCTTCTGTAAGTTGTCTTGGTTGTGATGTTTAATCGCAGCAGTAGATTACACTCCACAGAGTGTAATCTTACACTCTGTAAATCAGACACAAGTGCTTTATATTTTATTCTGATCATCTATTATCTATCAAATCTGTCTATCTATCATATATCTGTCTATCATCCATCTGTCTATGCTCTCTACCCATCTACACACAGTAATTATCTGTCTGTCTGTCTGTCTATCTATCTATCTATCTATCTATCTATCTATCTATCTATCTACCTACCTACCTACCTACCTACCTACCTATCTCTTAACACACGCCTCACTTCGGCAAGCTTATTCTTTGTAAACTACAGGTGAGCTCACAGCAGTCAATTCCCTCACCTTTTCTCTGTGCCTGACTTCTAACTACCCTACCCAAGACTGTTTTCACCTGACTCTTAGGAACCCTCGCCTGTGTTGCTTTGAATGTTTAAGGAACAGGAACTCAAGGAACGTTTCTTTCTCCTAGCTCATCACCCTCTCTTAGGCAGGACCTGAGTGCAGAGAGTGGCCGTGTGGTGCCTGGACTCAAGCTGCATGTCTCTTGTCCCTTTCAGGTGGGCCTGAGGCCTGTACTCAGCACAAAACCACATTGGGCTTATTCGCTCACTACTCTGTTTGACCTCCCTGGATCCTTGCTTATTTTCCACAGGATGTGCTTCCTTAGCAATGCACACCTGGTGAACCTCTCTCTTCCCATCATCTGCTCTCGGGAACCTCAGGCATTGTCTGTGCTCCTCTGTTCCTACCTAAGCCCAGAGCAGACTTCATGGCCTTGAACCTCAACTACAGCAGTGCTTGTGCTCGCTGTGCCGGCTCTCAATGTCCTGCTATATAACACTAGGCTATGAACTGAAGCAATGCAGCCATTACATTAAATCCCCATTCAGAACCCCCAACATCAGGGACTCGGAAAAAATAGTTTCAGATAGTATTTTTACTCTCCTTTTAAAAAGAAAAGAGAGAAAATATAAAATCATTCACTGAAATGCCAAGTTTCTTTTTTTTTTTTAAAAAAAGGTCAATGCCAGGTAGTGGTGGTACACACCTTTATCCCAGTACTCAGGTGGCAGGAATAGGCAGAACTCTGTGGGTTTAAGGACATCCTTGTCTACAGAGTAAGTCAAGACAGCTAAGATTACACAGAAAGACTAATCTTGAAAATTGGAAAAGAAGGAAGGGAGGGAGGGAGGGAGGGAGGGAGGAAGGAAGGAAGGAAGAAAGAAAAAAGATAGAAAAGGAAAAAGAAAAGAAGGAAAAGGCAGAAAGACTCTCTCTCCCTGCAGCTTCATTGTTCCATTCATTCTGTAAGATTCAGCTCTACCTTTCTTGCAGAACATTTCCCCCTTCGCTGTCAACATAGTCCATCATAGCACTGTTGACCTTCCCCTTCTGAGAACTCAGGGCAAGCCTGTCTACACTGCCCCCTCCTCAGTTGTGCTGTGTGCACGTCTTATCGTTACAACTGCACTGAATTTCCCAGAGACTGGCAGGGTAGAGATCGTGGACTATGTCACAGCTTCTCATGTTCCTTTATCCCTTCCTGCCACTTTGTGTTGCTCACAGCTGACCCTCATACATTCCTAATAGATGACTGTAACAGTGCAGAGACGCAAGTGGAAAACTGAGATAGCAAAGAAGCAGTAACAGCCAGACCAAGAGTGTGGGAAATCAGACGGGGAGGCCGGAGAAACTCAGAGACTGGGGGAGGTGCCCTTCAGTGTTGATTGATGGCCAAGGCTGGATGCATATTGCCTCAGAAACTAGTCAGAATGAAGCCTACTGTGGGTCTGCACTGGAAAGGGGACCATTCATTAATTTTTATCATAAGAGTCAAATGATAATACATGTACGTAATATGATACTGAGTGCTGGTAAGAACCAATTCAATATAGATGATTTCAGATCTAGATTAGCTTCAAATTTAGGGCAGATAAAACAAATCTATACAAGCACGATATATATGAATATGCACATGAAGTTAAGTAAATATGAAAATTAAAGATACAAAGTGAGTCAAGCAATGAAGACAGGTCAATGAAGACAAGACAGGGGGTCAAGAGGAGAAGGAAGCATACATATTCACCCCTTCACAAGGAAAACCTTCATAGATGAAGGCACACCCAGGTAAGAAGTATAAAGCACATTGGAATATGCTGTGGAGAGGAATAACAGGGCATTGATTCTGGATCAAAGTCAGGGGGATAACGAAAGGAATCTAAGCCATTTGAACATTTGAAGGAAGGAAAAACAATCAGTGATTATACTTAACCTGAAGGTATCAAACTATTAGAATGTACAGAAACTCAAGAGTAGAATTTAAGTAGGGAATTTGCTACACGATTCACATGGGAATGTTCTAGGTATTTTTGTTAAGTAGGTGGGCGGGGGGGTTGATAAGCAAGGATGACAGCTGGAAAAAACAGGTGAGTTCAATCTGGACATTCTTTATGGAGACAAGAGAATGGTGTGCATCTGGGACAGCAGATGCATGCAGTAATACTGGACTCTGGTTCTGCAGA